AGATGAATAAATGTAAATGATTTCAGTTCTGATTGGCTGTTCTGTATTATGGCTTATTCAAAAAGCAGTCCGGGCTGAAACACTGCTTATAACTTCAACGTGAATGGACAGGGGCTATAAATAGCCAGATATATTTAAAATGTGTTGGTTTTTGTGACATCACAAAAACAATAAATTAAAAATGAGCTGTTTTTACAGCTTAATTTCCAGATATGGACACTAAGCCTGGGGGCTTTCAAAGCAATTTGCAAGAACATTTTACACACCTCCACAGTTCAGTTATAGAAGTTGGTTTTTCTATTTTCCTTTTCTGAGTAGCCACTTGAGAGCTACACATCCTTTCAGACCCATAGCGCTGAGTTGTCTTCTCACAGTGGAAGGATGGACAGAAACACCTGTGGATGTTTTCAGATCTGAAGCAGCTTGATTTCCTCCTCTCTCTCAGAGATGAAAGCTTTAAGTGCTGTTTATCTGATGAGGGCCAGTTTTGGTGGTCTGCCAGGTCTTGCATAGTTGTTACAGACCAATTTGTTCAATTTTTTTGAATCTTTATTGAACTCCTGTTTTGGGAACAGGAGTATTTTTTGGTATTTTTTGACTTATTTTCCTTTGATGTTCCTTCTAATTAATGAAAGGGTGGTCTCTAACTTTTGCATAGTACTGTATCTTGTACCCCCCCCTCCTTGGCAATTTTCTCAGAAAAATCTACCATATAGGTGCACTTTATAATTTACAATTACTGACTACAGCCCATCTGATTATCGCCCACCCAGTGGTCCTTTACCACTGATAGACAGGGTGGAGGGGGCTTCCCTGGACAGCTATGTGTTTTCCTTCACCACATGAGCTCATGATTAAATCCTTCTGAAGCTGAAACAGGCAACTTACTGCAGAAAAAAAACATAGAACTGTTTAAAGTCAGAAGACTGTGGTTTAATGTTTTTCCTCCTCCGTACACATTTAAACCTAATGGCATGTGTGTTAAAGAGCTGATGAGGTGAATTAGGTGTGCTGGAGCAGGAAGGCACTAGCATGAGCAGTGCAGAGGGGCTTAACAGCAGAACTGAGAAAGTCTGGTAAATGTTGTAGAATTCAATCAGAGCTGTTGAGCTTTACAAAGCTCAGTTGAACCATACAAGCCTCCTGCAGCTTCTTCCACTGAGCACAAAGCCACAGGGAAGGAGGTGACCACCAGGTGACCCCTGTAGGTTAAATAAACGAAATCCACCCACTGTTCATCTCTGCCTGTATTTACCCTGAGTGATGCAGAACCCACCAGCTCACACAGTGCAGTCACGGCACTCCACCTTGTGGTGGCTGATAGAAGAATCACAAATCAGTCCTTTATTCTCTTTTTCTTTTTTATAAGATCACATCCATACATATGGGTAGTGTTAGGACAAAGGTTAGGTCATTTCAAGCATCTAAGCTTTTGTAGACACTCATTAATTCAGGAGGAACACGCACACACACACACACACACACATAAATATATATATATATATACATATATATATATATACATATATACAGCCTTTGTATTTCTTGGTCAGAATGATAAGCAGTGGTTCAGTGGCACCTCACATCTCTACCCAGTTTCTGAGCATTTATTTTATTTTAAAGCAACATTTCAGTGATGTTTATAGAATGGATGTTTAATATACAATATCTAAAAAAATGCTAATTTATTTCTAAAACAAATGTCCTACAGATAGCTGAGGTCGTGTCTAGTTAAATAAAAAGTATTATATTTCAGTGTATATGTCAAATGCTACATTTCTGCTTTCTTGATTCTTTTGGAAGCGGCACATCAGTCATTTATCATACGAAACCAACAAGAAAAAAACAACATTAACAGGCTACTGGTGGCTCAGGGGTCCTAAGTATGGAAGCCCATCCTCCCAGGTAGAGAATAAATCCAACTGTTTCTGGCAGCGGTATGTGAAAATATTGATATAGTACCTCAAATATTGATTTTTTTTTTCCTGAGCTATTGACTTTGTATCTAAAAACAGTTACTTATTTTCTCAAAATATTGGCTTATCTAAAAATAATGACCAAAATACTGGCTTCCTTTCTCAAAATAATTACTTACTATTTTATTATAATGAATTATTATCCTAATTACTTACGTTTTCAAATTTAAGAGCTCAATATTTTGACATAGAATCTCAAAATCTCAAGAAAATAAGTCAAAATTTCATCATAAGTCTTACCAGATGCTGTGAATGTTTTCAGAAAATAAGTAATTATTTTGAGATGCATAGTCAGCAGTTAGAAATGCCAAGTCCATCATTTAAGAAAATAAGTCATTATAACATCTAAATAAGTCATTATAGAATATGAATGTGTTCATATAAATATTTTGAGAAAATAAGTCATTATTTCGAGATACTGAGTCAATATTTTGAGAAAATAAGTCATTATTTTGAGAAAATAAGTTTATTTTGAGAGACTAAGTCACTTCGAGAAAATTGTTATTTAGAGATACTAAGTCAATGTTTTGAGAAAATAAGTTTTTTATTTGGAGAGACTAAGTCACATCGAGAAAATAAGTAATTATTTTGAGATACTAAGTCAATATTTTGAGAAAATAAGTTGTTAATTCGAGAAAATAAGTCACTATTTCAAGATACTAAGTCAATATTTTGAGAAAAAAAAATCATTTTGACAGACAAGTCACTTCGAGAAAATAAGTTGTTATTTCAAGATACTGAGTCAATATTTTGAGAAAATAAGTCGTTATTTTAAAAAAATAAGTTTTTATTTCGAGAGACTAAGTCACCTCGAGGAAATCGTTATTTCGAGACACTAAGTCAATATTTCGAGAAAATAAGTTTTTATTTCGAGAGACTAAGTCACATTGAGAAAATAAGTCGTAATTTCAAAATAAGTCAATATTTTGAGAAAATAAGTCATTAATTTGAGAAAATAAGTCACTATTTCGAGATACTAAGTCAATATTTTGAGAAAAAAAAATCATTTTGACAGACAAGTCACTTCAAGAAAATAAGTTGTTATTTCGAGATACTGAGTCAATATTTTGAGAAAATAAGTTTTTATTTCGAGAGACTAAGTCACCTCGAGGAAATCGTTATTTCGAGATACTAAGTCAATATTTAGAGAAAATAAGTTTTTATTTCGAGAGACTAAGTCACATCGAGAAAATAAGTCGTTATTTCAAAATACTAAGTAAATATTTTGAGAAAATAAGTCACTATTTCGAGATACTAAGTCAATATTTTGAGAAAATAAGTTCTTATTTCGAGAGACGAAGTCACTTCGAGAAAATTGTTATTTCAAGATACTAAGTCAATATTTTGAGAAAATAAGTTTTTATTTTGAGAGACTAAGTCAAATCAAGAACATAAGTCGTTATTTTGAGATACTAAGTAAATATTTTGAGAAAACAAGTGGTTAATTCGAGAAAATAAGTCACTATTTCAAGATACTATGTCAATATTTTGAGAAAACAAGTTTTTATTTCGAGAGACGAAGTCACTTCGAGAAAATTGTTATTTCAAGATACTAAGTCAATATTTTGAGAAAATAAGTTTTTATTTGAGAGACTAAGTCAAATCAAGAACATAAGTCGTTATTTTGAGATACTAAGTAAATATTTTGAGAAAACAAGTGGTTAATTCGAGAAAATAAGTCACTATTTTGAGATACTATGTCAATATTTTAAGAAAAAAAGTTTTTATTTCGAGAGACGAAGTCACTTCGAGAAAATTGTTATTTCAAGATACTAAGTCAATATTTTGAGAAAATAAGTTTTTATTTTGAGAGACTAAGTCAAATCAAGAACATAAGTTGTTATTTTGAGATACTAAGTAAATATTTTGAGAAAACAAGTGGTTAATTCGAGAAAATAAGTCACTATTTCGAGATACTGAGTCAATATTTCGAGAAAACAAGTTTTTATTTCGAGAGACGAAGTCACTTCAAGAAAATTGTTATTTAGAGATACTAAGTCAATATTTTGAGAAAATAAGTTTTTATTTGGAGAGACTAAGTCACATCGAGAAAATAAGTAATTATTTTGAGATACTAAGTAAAAATTTTGAGAAAATAAGTTGTTAATTCGAGAAAATAAGTCACTATTTCGAGATACTAAGTCAATATTTTGAGAAAAAAAAATCATTTTGACAGACAAGTCACTTCGAGAAAATAAGTTGTTATTTCGAGATACTGAGTCAATATTTTGAGAAAATAAGTTGTTATTTTGAGAAAATAAGTTTTTATTTCGAGAGACTAAGTCACATCGAGAAAATAAGTCGTTATTTCAAAATACTAAGTAAATATTTTGAGAAAATAAGTCACTATTTCGAGATACTAAGTCAATATTTTGAGAAAATAAGTTCTTATTTCGAGAGACGAAGTCACTTCGAGAAAATCGTTATTTCGAGATACTAAATCAATATTTTGAGAAAATAAGTTTTTATTTTGAGAGACTAAGTCAAATCGAGAACATAAGTCGTTATTTTGAGATACTAAGTCAATATTTTGAGAAAATAAGTCGTTAATTCGAGAAAATAAGTCACTATTTCGGGATACTAAGTCAATATTTTGAGAAAATAAGTTTTTATTTCAAAAGACGAAGTCACTTTGAGAAAATCGTTATTTCGAGATGCTAAGTCAATATTTTAAGAAAACAAGTCGTTATTTCGAGGTTGCTAAGTCAATATTTTGAGAAAACAAGTCGTTATTTCGAGACGCTAAGTCACTTCAAGTAACCTAAAGTAATGAGACATTATTTCGAGAAAAAGAGAAGAGAAAAAAGAAAACATGTCCGTCACGAAACGACCCTGACTTTACCTGTAATTCGAAACTGCCACCTTAAATCTACCCGAAGGAGTTTACAACAGACCACGCCCAGTGCTCACTCCGACCACGCCCACCGCTCGCCGGGCTCGGCCAATAACTGTCCGTCAGAGAGGCTGGAGGAGAAAGTCGAAGTGAATGAGCTGAGCGGACTGGGGTCGCTGGAGGAGAGAAACATGGAGGCAGAGTTGTTACAGGTGAACAGAAGCGAGTTTGTTTACGTGTTTACAGTGATAAACAGCGCGTTTGAGCGCCGCCTGTTATATTCACACCGCTCACTCAGTGAAACAGCCAGTTCAGAAAAGCGGGCGGAGGTTCCTGCACGCGCTCCAAAAGTTTGATAACATCAGCGTTTTGGGATTTTATTTCCACATATCAGCTTAAATATATGGGACACACACCTGGAGCCTTCTTATACAGACACACACGTCTTAAGTCTGAACTGCCGAGTTACTTTATTTGCATTTCTCGGTGATTTTTTAAGTGTCCATTAACGCTCCTCTCAGGTGAGGTTGGAGAAGTGGACCATGAGCCCCTTCTTTAAGAGCTGATGTGAGTGACATCATCTCTCAAACCATTTTAGTTAGTCTTTTCATTATTATCATCATTTTATCGCCTTTCCAGGTTCTGAGCCCGCAGAGTTTGAGAGCTCTGGAGGAGTGGCAGCGCCGAGAGTCCGTCACCTTAACGCAGGTCAACGGCCAGAGAAGATATGGCGGTCCTCCTCCGGGTAGGTGCATTTGGATTCGTGTGCTTGTACATTAGCGAGCGCTAGAAAGCTGCCCCGGCCTTTTCAGTGACCCCAAAGCCATTAGAAACGTTTCATACTGAGCAGAACTTATTGCTTTGGAAGAGAATGGCATGTGAATAGGGGCTGAGAGGAACCCCCCCCCCACCTAGCAGAGGCCTCTAGAACAGCTTTGACTTGTTCAGAACCCTCAGTATTGTCTCCTGCTCTTCGCCTGGCCCTCTAATTTAGAGCAGCCGCCTTCATACTTCCCAGCAACACTAACTAGTTGGCAATAGCAGCTCCCATTAGTTATACCGTCGATTATACTAATCATTTAAAGGGGGATTCCACCGAATTTCCACGTTTTTTTGTGCAATCAGATTTTTGAGATGTGAACTGTCACTTAGAGTGGTTTGATGTGAAGTGGTTCACTGTACACTCGTAAAAAAAGATGGTTCTTTAGTACAGTGGTTCTGTATAGAACCATGAACAGTCAAAGAACCATTTGCATGCTTAAAAGGGTTCTTTGCATGGTGATGAAATGGTTCTTCAGATTCATAGAGATATATATTATATGTATGTAGAATATGTATATTGTATATGTATTATTAATAGAACATTTTTGAATGGTTCTTTGTAGCACCAAAAAGGATTCTGCTGTTACAATGTTAAGTTTGTAACAATACAAACAATGTGGTTCTATATAGAGCCACATACAACACATTCTCCATCACTCTGAACAACCAATACACCATGCAAAGAACCCTTTAAGCATGCAGATGGTTCTTTGAGTGTTCATGGTTCTATTTAGAAACGTTGTTTTTACCAAAGACCCTTGAAGAACTTTTTTTTTTAAAAAGAGTGTAGAGCAGTGGTGCCCAACCCTGGTTCTGGAGGACCCCCTTGCCCTGTGCATAGTGTTTCGTCTGCTCACAGCACACCTAATGCGACTAATCAGCTCATTAACAGGCCCTTCATGACTTAAAGTGAGTGTTAGAGCAGAAGAACTTGTAAACAATGCTGCACAGCTCCGGTCCTGGAGGGCCAGTGTCCAGCATAGTTTCTCTACTGAAACACACCCACTAAAACTGCCACTTAGCAGATGAATGTTATCAGGTCTGTTTGAGTAGGTAATTCACCAAACTGTGCTGGACACTGACCGTCCAGGACCGGAGTTGTGCACTCCTGCTCTAAAACGGGTACGCCAGGGCTGGGAACTGATTTTACCTGTACAAAAAAACCTGGGCTACATCAGAGTAACTTACTGACTCAGATTTCTTTGCAGTGTTGGTGACAGGAACCAGGGGTCTACAATTGAATATAGCTGTTTTATTTACTGTCCAAAACCACCAGTGAACAGTGGAGGTCTTGAGTTTGAGAATCTTGTGTTTAGTGTTTTTTGTGCATTGGCCCACCCATGTCACTATTTCAGTTAACTGCCACAACAGGAAATGAACAAAACATGTACAACATTAGAGAAACCTGTAGCTGTAGAGAAACTTACTGACTCAGATTTCTTTACAGTGGTGGTCCTGATTGTCTACGACGCAAATGTATTTTATTTACTATCCAAAACCACCAGTGAACCTACACATGTCTTCTGAGTTTTTATTTGTAGTGTTGATGATTATAGAATAGTATTATATCTGAAAAGATAAGTTTTCTTTGGTGACTATGTTGCTTTATAATGACTTGCATGTACCACTCCTCCATGAATGGCCAAAACCTTATCTCAGAAGTTTTGAGAAACAATGCTTTAGGCATCACGCACCATATTTATAATCATTTAACAAGATGTTCGGTTCCTGTCACCACCACTGTGAACTGTTCTGACTCGATAAGTTTCTCTAAAAGGAAGCATTTCACATCAAACCACTCTGAAAGACTTTCACATCTAAACAATTGAATTATGCAGGGATTTGAAAAAAGGTGGCATTTCCCTTTAAGAAAAGAGCAGTACATCTCTGCTCTTCCCTCCAGATGAAATTCATTTAGTGCTGGCTAGTTGACTGAATGAAATAAATGTCAGCTCAAATAAACTTTCAGCTGAAAGCCTTTTCAGTCCTGTTTGCAGTCCAGGTCCAGTTTTGGTGCACATTGAAACAGGCCGTGTTCTGAGCTGATCAGATTATTTTATTTTACAGTTGATTGAATAGGACTACATAGACTGATGAGGCTTGATTTTGATCAACGCTCCTGCCCTGAAAAGGTTGATAAATATGAGTTCCGCACAGTTTACTGTTCTCCCTGCTCCAGCACACCTGTAGCAGCTCATTAGCTACGGCTAATTATGAAGCTGAATCAGGTGAGCAGAATCAGGGCAGCAGTTAAACTGTGCTTGCAGGGTTTGGTCTTGAGTTTGAGAATGTTGTTTGTTGTGCAGTGGTTTTGGTGCCTGTTACTGTCAGCTGCCACAGCAAGAAATGAACAAAAAGCAGTGCTAGATTAGAAAATATAATTCCATAATGTTGCAAGAAATATGATTGAAATAAAGTACATAGGGATTTTAAAAAGCAGAATTCTCATTTAACAAGGCAACTTATGAAAAAATCAGAATTCCTGCATAATCCAGCTGTTAAGATGTACACACAGTCATTCAGAGTGGTTTGATGTGAAATGGTTAATTGTAGAGAAACTTGCTGGCTTGGAATTATTTTTTTCCTTACAGTACACAGAGGCACCTTCATGTACCTCTCCATCCAGTATTTTTTATGTATTTAAAAAAGTTTTGTGCCTAAATCTTATCTTAGAACTGTTGTAAAACAGTGTCTCAGGCATCAAGCAGTGTTCATAACCATTTCATCTAATAGCTTTCTATGAGGGAGCTTTTAGAGGCATTAAACCAGGGGTGTGCAATCCTGGTCCTAGAGATCTTCCTCCCTGACTAGTTAAGATCCAGCACACTTGGCTCTAATGTTCAGAAGCTCCTCAAGACCTTCATTATCTGGATCAGGTGTGTTAGATTAGAGTTGGAGACAAACCCTGCAGGGTGGCAGATCTCCCGGACCAGGATTGGGCACCCTTGCATTAAACTCTGGTTCCTATCACAACCACTGTGCGTGTTGGCATTGACATTGTTTACATATTAACTGTTTAATCATGTGGAACTTTTGAAAACATTAATAACATTTCTCTTTAAGCCAGAAATAACTGTCAAATAAGACAAGCAGTGTTCCACTTTTTGCAGTTTACCATCTTTACTGAAAAACCTTTGTGAAATACCTCCCAGCTTACATAAAAAATTGCTAAAATTTTTACAGTGTCTACATGATGTCCACTGTCCTTGACAGCAGCGACCTGTTGACCACCCAAGGCAATGAGTTCTATTATTTTTAGTTAAAATGTGAAATTGTGATGTTTTTGCTCCTTATTTCATAAACTGAGGTTAGAGATAGTGTTAGCATGTTAGCAGGGACTCTCTGCTTCTGTTGTTTTGCTGTATTCCACGTATCGAGCAATCTTCACATGGTACCAGACCCATAGTGCAAAACTTCTTGGGTGTTGTACCCTTTCTTGATACTTAGGATGAGCAGAGATTGAGTCTCCTGTCCCTCCTAGAATCTGTGAAAAAATTCCACACGGCCGATATGTTCACTGTTGATCTGCTGCTGCTCATGTGTTTGTGCTACCCGGTGCAGGAGAGCGAAAGAAACAAGCAGTGTTTGTCACTGTTTCTCATTTTCCTTATCATTCAAATGATTTGTACAGTGTTCGATTTTGAGATTTTGACACTTTTATACTTCCTTGTAATCTTGTATGTAATGTTTTTCGTTGATGTTTTCTTTTTTTATTTATCTTTTGACAGGAAAGGCAAGAAAAAAGATAGAGGGAAGAGGGAGACAAGGAAGTAGAAGGGGGCGAAAAAAACGTGTAGCAACATAAAGCACAACAATATAAAGTATATCAGGCTGATATCAGCAGAAAATGCTGGGGAAAAGAACATGAATTTAATCCTGTAATAAATTATGCTCACACTGTGATGTGAGGATGTTTGCTATGTGTATGCCATATATTGCTCTTCTTAAGATAAGTACTTTAATTAAAATGAGCAAATTTTGAAGCATAGTAGTTTTTAAAGGGAAAAAAAGGTTGGTATCAGCCGATATTGGAAGTTTGGATGTTAGTTTTGGAAAAGAAAAAATTGCTGTTGTGCCATCTTTTGTTAAACACCGTATCTTGTCTAGTCTATATTGATAAAAATCTTGATCATATTCAGCAGCTCACTGCTGGTACTTGAGCACAGTGATTATTTTGATAAGCAGAATACTCTGAATAGGTTCTTTTGATCAGGGTCTCGGTGCATCAGTTTTATTTGTCTTCCTGAAAGATCAGCAACATATGAAAAAGAAATTCAAACAAAACGTAATTACATCATGGTTTAGTTTTCTCTGTTTAAACTTCATAATTAACCTTTTAAGGACTAAGCCTAGAAATAGCTGCTTATCTTAATCTTATATTTAACTGTAAAGCAGAGATAATGTTTTGCTGTCTACAATATCATCTGATTCAGCACATACTTTCAGTAATACCATTGAACAAAAATATTAAATGTTAAAGATGAAAATATTACAAATGCAGGAAAAAAACCTTGTTTTTACATTTATACTAAAAAAAAAGAACAAACGGGACTAAACAGAACGAATAATCAGAGTAAACAACTTGTAAAGGTCATTTGAAGTCTCTACTGTGTTTGTGACCATTTTTCTCAGCGCTGTCAGTGGACAGTTTTTGTTCGTGCTCTGACTGGTGATGTGTATTGCTTTGCACGGAGCCTCATCACCCTCCTGACATTTATCAAGTGTCTCCAGCCTCCTCACCACTGCCCTCGAAAAGTATTTGTAGCTTTTCACGACTCATCTTGAATAAAATCTTGTTTTGGAAAGTCTGAGGTCAGCAGGTCTTTCAAAAGTCAAGCTGGAAACCACCTGCATGCCATCTCTGAAGTTTGGGAGAATACCTGATGTAGGGCTGGGCAATACGACAATATTTAGCATTATTATGATAAATTATGTCACAACATGCTTTTCTGAGCATATCGTACATATAGCCAGTACTTAAAATACCTTCCAACTGCATGTTTGATTACAATGAGAGCATAATCAGTCATGTTTAACTGGATTTAGTGCAGCTCAGTGTGTGAAATATAAAGTTAAAAAAATTGGATTAATAGTTTTTGATAGTATTTTTTAAACGTGGTGCTGCTTTGCCTGTTCTAACTTACCAGATTTCAGAAAAAAAATATTGATATTGCATTTTTGCTGTATCACTCGCCTCTAGCCTAAAGCTCCTCCTCCTTCCAATCTAATATCCTGTAAAATTCCCATCTCTACTGTACGTTTGTTGAAGATTTTGCACTCCACCACCCTAAATCTCTCACTCCTGCCTCTGTTCGTCAAAAAGAGCGAGGGGGTGTCCAGCCTTCTATCTTAAAACGAAAGATGTTGACTGTAGTCCATGTTCCCTGAAGTTCTCTCCCCTCTTAAAGTCATGCAGTCTCTCCTTATACTACCACTATATGTTAAAGGTATAGTCTAGCAAAGTGTACTTTAATGTAATGAGATTATAATGTAATTATAATATTGTCATTTTAATCCATTCATCATGAAACAGTCACCGAATGTAAAGGGCTGCTGCTGTTTAAAATGATATAAAGAACTAAAACCTGAAAAAAAGATTTAGAGGGTTTAGAAATGACTGCCTGATTTATCTGTCAAGATGTAAAGATGCAGTGCTAAAAAAGGGTGCAACAATTTCAGTACAGCATCAAAAGTCCCAGTTTGAAACAGCACATTGGATATATTGCTGATACTCCTTTGCTCTTCTGTCTGTTGTGGAATTGGCTGTCGCTGATCAGAACTAGGTATCTGGGTGCATCCAGTCAGAGTAAATTGGGTGATGAGGGGGTGGGGCTTATGCTATGGACACAGCTACTCTCAGCTTTATATGGTACAGCAAACAACAGTATAATGATTAAGAAAAGAAAAGTTGCGGAAGAAAAACACGTATGCATTTATCTTCAAATGTCATTGCGTTGTATGTGGTATTGACAATTTGGTCACTTATACTGTAAAATGTTACTAGAAATTAAATTAGAGTTAAAATCAATAAAGTCAGAATGATGAATTATTCAACCAGGCAACATTGTTTGTATAGCCAAAGAATGAAAATGTTAAGTTCAGTCATTTTCATTATTTCAAACTGAGCCCCAGTATTTGTCATGTTTGTTAAAATAACCCAAATGGGTTTAGTGTTTGGTTTTGCTAATCCAGTCTTCTGTAAGAATATCTGGCTGTGTTGAGCTACGTGGCATTAGCCTGCCTCTCCGAGCTGGTCATTTTCTGGGCTGTTGTTGACTATTTTTAGCTAATGCCATGAGCTTTGACACACAACCCTGATTCCTTCTTCCTGAGGCACTTTTCTCCTGTTTGTCACATGCTGTCACAGCTTTCAACAGTATCCCCATTATCTAACAGTCTTTGTGTTCCTGTGATTGACACATCTGCAATTTGTGCACCAACTGTTCAGCCCCTTTCACGCTCACTTAGATGCACCATGCTTATCGTTATGTTATCTCGGGTTTCTGTCAAGGAGAAACATGGCCAAGATCATGTGCAGGAATATTACTGAAAACTCTGACTGCTAAGAGGCTGGAAAGGCATGATGCTGGTGTTCCGGACACAAGCTTAGTTTTGGACGAGTGAATGGTGCGAATGATGTTTTAAAAATCCTTGTTAGCCTCTGTCTGGAATTATGTTTGCACTTCTGAATATTGATTGCCTCAGGTAGTGCTGTTTGAAAAGCTGATGTTTTTATATACATTAAAACTCATCGTGGTGGCTGTGTTTACATACAGAGACTTTTGCCAGTCCGATTGCATACATTCCGATTGTAGATTTAGACTGAGGTGTTTATATGATCACTCTACCCAACAATCTGATGAAAAAAACTACATTTACATGCACACTACAAGAAATCCGATCCAAAATTATGCACATATGTAGACGTTACCATGACAGCGTGAGTCCAGTCAGTGAGAGGAGCAGCACTGAGCAGTGCTTGTGTTTTTAAATGCTTTAAAACGATGTCAGACTCAGGAAAACGTACTTCACGTGTCCTTATTAAAGAAGGCCGAGTGGAAGTCGTCGTGTTCTGAGGCACAGGACATCCGTCCCACCTCCATGTTTTAAAGATCAGAGCATAAACTTCGTACGTACTTAAACTTTCCGATTGGGAATGTAATCAGATACAGGCGTTTACATGGTTATTATTCTTTTATTTAACGGATTATTTACAGGATTACCCACCTCGTTTGATCGGATAGAAATTGTATTCCGAATGGCCGCAATCGGACTAGTCTATTCCGATTGAGATGTTTACATGGACGTGTTCTATTCTGATTGAGCTATTAGTCGGATTATTAACAGATTATTAGACAGTTGGCTACTGTTTTGTTTCGGTTTCACATTAAAGTCAACCTGAAATCAAAATGGCCATGTTTTAACCTATTTTCCATGATCACATTATGTATGATTCAACATATTCAACAAAATTTTCTTATAATCTTTGATTAAAGTATAGTGTACTTTTGCCTGTCTCTGAAAAAATCTTCTGAGGTTTGATTACGTTGCCACGCACCAACAGGCAGGGAAGTATAATATTAAGCAGTAATATTGTGTTTCACCTCCTCTTCCCACCTATCATTAAGAGAAAACATTCATCTAGAGACCCTCCCCAATACTATGTTTCACTCGCGAGTACGTCATGGTATAGAAGGTAAACACATGGTAATTTCCAACTTATGTTGACTTTAAGATCAGTATGTGATTCTTGATCACTTATTTGGTTATATGGGAATTAAAAGGCAGAAATCAGTACTACACTTTAATCTTGTAAGGCTCCAAAATCCAACTCCTCTTTTAATGTTTCCATTATTTTGGTTGCAACACCTTTTGCACATTTGTATTGCCTATACTGACATACATGAAATGTAGTGGCCCTTTGCGTCAAATTAAATGCTCTTTGATTATTTATTTAACAGCTGACCTGCTCAGTTTTGTTTCAAATTTGGTTTAAAATATTTCAGTTTGAAATTTCCAAATTGTGTATATGGAAGTGCAAAATGTCAATACTAATAATTATTTTGGAGGAATACCACCAATTTTGTCTGAATGTTTGCATAATTAAATTTGTAAAGATGTAAATAGTCATTCAAAGTGGTTTGATGCGAAATGTTCTAGAGAAACTTACTGAGTCAGAATAGTTCACAGTGGTGGTGATGGGAACCAGACGTCTGAAGAGTTTAATGTCTCTAAAAGCTCCAACGCAGAAAGTTACTACATGAAGCGGTTAAGAAAGACTGCCTGGTGACTGACTGACATTGCTTTAGCAATAGTTGTGAGACGGTTTTGGTCTAAAATGTATTTTTATACTATATTCATGGTGGAGGGGTACATGCAGGATGTTGTAAGGTAACACAGTCCCCAAAGAAAACCTTCAACATAACATATAAAAACTCAGAAGTCCTGTATAGGTTCACTGGTGGTTAAGATCTTAATAAACAATGTATTTGTGTTGTAGACGTCATGACTCCTGCTTCCTATCAGCACCACTGTACAGAAAACTGAGTGTCTACAATGAACCTAAAATTCATTTTCTCCACTTCTCTCTTTATCGTCTCTCTCCTGTTAGGCTGGAGTGGTCCTGTTCCAGGTTCGGGCTGCGAGGTGTTCATCAATCAGATTCCGCGGGATGTCTTTGAGGACCGTCTGATCCCGCTCTTCCAGAGCATTGCGCCGTTGTATGAGTTTCGCCTCATGATGAACTTCAGCGGGCAGAACCGCGGCTTCGCCTATGCCAAGTACGGAGACCCTGCCACCGCGGCGGCTGCCATCCAGGCACTGAACCAGTACCCGCTGCAGGAGGGCGTGCGACTGGTGGTCAGGAAGAGCACGGAGAAGAGGCAGCTATGTCTGGGAGATCTGCCCTCAGGCATGGGTCGCGAGGAGCTGCTCATGGTCCTCCGGCTGGTCTCGGAAGGGGTCGAGGGTGTCACTGTGAAGGCTGTTGGGTCCAAGGGAAAGGATGTCTGTGCACTGGTGCACTACTCCTCTCACTACGCTGCCTCCATGGCTAAGAAGGTGCTGGTGCAAGGTATGATAGATGCTGCATGCTAGGAAAAAATAGATGGCTGCTATTACTGTTTAGCTAAATTTTCTACTTTCATCCTTTATTATAACTGACATTGTTATACAGTGTCAGAAACCACATAATTAAGTCTATTTGAGATTACTTAAAGCTGCACTATGTAAGATTTATTGTTAAAACTAAAAGAAGTAGCATTACTGAGTTAGGAGAAGAAAAACACTCTAAAATATGATGTCTTTGCTGCTGCGAGTCGCTCCGTAAAGCCTAAAGTAATAATTTACAAGTTGAGGTGTTGGTCGGATTTTGCAGGATTTTTTCAGACCATGTGACTTTACATATTAACGTCACACACAGGCTCAAAACAGAGTTCCACATCAGTGTTTAGGTCTCAGTTGCAAAATCAACATTATACTGATGAAGGTATGGTGATAGTAGTATATAATTCACTTACATCCCTAGAAGACACATCAGTCAGCAAGTTTTGACTGACTTCTCTTTGAATACTTGCAATCAGATTCATCCGCTTGGGGAGGGGGTCCGAACCACGTCATAAGGTGTTGGTGTTAAGACTTGCAGTGTTAGTTGATGCTGTATCCCCAAACATGTCTTGACAGACAGACTACTAATAATATATCCCTTTAGGCAGTCATCCCTGTGTTCCCAGAGTGCCATGATGCAACGTCCACTTTGTCAATCACTTAACATTTCAAAGGTTATGATATTTGATTTGCTACATTGAAACTGGGCTCAATATATTAATCTACCTCTTTAAGTTACTCTGCTGGGGTGCTAGCTAGCAAGCTAAAATCTGCTCAACTAGTAACAAGGAAAAAAAAAGAACAGTGCATCAATGGTTCTCTTTGTAAACCAGAAGCAAAGCAAGTTGTTTACAAAGTTTATGTATACTCTGCTCTGACTTAATAAAAAAAGAAGTTTGTTTAGCTGGCTAATTGGCTCACTACGGCTAGCCTAACTGATGGCATGTGCATTCCTATTGATAAACCGTCTGCTCATTGTCAGTTGTATGATCTTTGGTGAACCATGAACCTAACCATGACCTTGGGAACCCTTTCACGGATTTTCTTTATGTATAACATTGAAGGTATAGTGTATTATATAAAGAGCTGAAGGAGTATAAGGCCTTGGTAACACTGGCACCGCCCCCCCCCCTTAAAAACTTTCTGTTGGCACACAGAAAACACAAAATTGCACAGTAACATGACCTAATTTGAAGAGATCTATACTGAAATTTTTGTAAGTCACAGATCCTTTTTATGTACCTTTGGTTAGATATTGGTGAATATTTAGAAATGGAGGTCAATTTGTCACATTTAACTGAAAAGGAGTTATTTTGGAGGTTTGGAGTTACTGGGGCGTTAACAGATGGAGGATGTTTCAGTACTTCAGTTGAGTCACAGAGCGCTCAGCTATCAGAGATGCGCATTCAGAGATTACAGTGGAGCAGTTTGTGTGGTTTGCTAAGGGATTGCGGAGGATCTTGTGGAGGAGAGTACTGAACCCTTATTGCATGATTCAGTGAACACATTAAGCCTAGGCAGAGCCTCAGCTGCAGGCTGAATCCACGTTAACTTTAATGCTCTGATTAAGTTACACCAGGCTTAACATATAACTAGACCTAAAGAGGAATTCCACTGATGTTTCAGAATTTTCTGCATAATTAAGTTGTGGATATGTAAACAGTCATTCAGAGTAGCTTGATGTGAAATGGTGCCTTGTAGGAAAACTTAACAAGATTTCTTCAGTGGTCGTGACTGGAACCAGGGGTCGCAGTATCTACAACACAAATATAGGCTTTTTATTTACTATCCAAAACAAACTACTTGTGAGTTTTTAGACATGATGTTGATGATGATAATGATCATTCTGGATACAGTACCTGTCTGCCATGAATTTAAAAATTTATTTTAGGCCAAAAAATTTTTTCTCAAAACTGCCATAAACCAATGTGTAAGGTGTCATACAGTGAATTTATAAGCATTCCATGTAATAACTTTCTGTGAGTTAGCTTTTAGAGACATTTAACTCTTTAGATGTCAGAGGCTGCATTATAGAAACATCCTGAAATCTTATCTCAGTTTGCTAGCTTCTGTTTTAACCATCCATTTCTACTGGTAGCTGTTCTGCTGAAAAAAGAGAACAGGCCTCATTCACCCAAGTTTTTTCTAAAATTTAAAAGGTCCTAGGTAAAAGTCTTTGTCAGGTTGATGACGTGTTCTCAAACCACAGAATTGTTCACACCTTTGTGCTCTTGAGTGTGTGTAGATTCTGTTCTTACCTAAGAACAAATCCCAAATGAGAAAACATTGGTGAGTATCAGAATCTTTGTGAAAACTGCAGAAGTGGGTTTTAAGAAGAAATTTCTTCTTAATAACAGATGACGGGGCCCATTGTTGTCATCTTTAAGCAGCTGTGACAGGCGCTTATATGTATAATTTGTTACGACCCTCAGTTAAATCTAGGGGATAGGGGTCATAAACATGACGCAGGAGTGGAAGATGTGGTGGAGGAAGAGAAGTGATTTAAAAAGAGACTTTAATATATTCTGAAACATATATATAAGGTAGACAGAGTTCCAATGTACCTTTCTAGAAACCAGAAAAACAAGGTTGGTGCTTCTCCAGGGAAACCGGTCACGGACGGCGCCAGCAAGAAGAAATAAACAAAACCAAACAATCTACCTAACCTAAACAAAAATAAGATATCTACTTAAACTTAAAACTAAACAAAACATAAATACATATGCAGCACCTGCCCTCTTACCTAGTGTGTTTAAAAGGCTTCCTGCATGTTAGAGTACAGGCGCCCAAACTTATTAATAAAAAGTTATTTTATTACGTTTGTATTTGTTTTCATTTCAGCTGTGCGTGTATTTTTAGTTGCTTTGTAACAGACATAATAATTAATTAGCAACCCTGATTGAGTAGTTTAGCATTTCCTAACTGAAGATAAGATACAGTAATTCCTAAATTAAAATTTGATAATAAAATTGATAAAATCTTGCCTTGCTGGGTCTTAAGACAAGTTTCTGTAATAGTACCTCTGGTTTCTGTCACCACAACTGTGAACTTTTCTGACTCTGGGTTTCTGTCTAATGGTGCATTTCACATCAGACCTCTCTAAATGACTTTGTTTACATCTTAAAAGCTCACGACAAACAACTTGTATATTGCAGTTATATGACACTTCTAAATCAGTTTCAGATGAAAATGCAATATTAAAAAAGGAACTGTTCATTTAACATTCTTCAAGCCGGAGTTTTAACTTTGAGTTTGACCTTGCGCCTGGTTCATCAACCAGTCTACAGCTGTGCCGAACTCAAATATACATCAGTAGCTCATCTCCAGAGCAGTAAACAAGCCCCGTGTGAAAGGCAGGAGGTTTTCATGGCTGCAGCAGGCTGATGGTTTGTCTTGTTGTGCAGCACTGTGGAGAGCAGGATACCTGCAGAGCACATGTCTTTCAAACGCCACGCTGAGCAGATCCTCCGCTGACGAGCTTAATGCTAATTTATGCTAATCGAATGCAAATAAAGACACAACAGAGGTGGGGAAATAATTAAGGCCTAGCAAAGAGCAATCAAAACCTGAACATGAATCACTGAATAGTATAACAGGATGACAGGAATAATTCAGATTCGTATTGATTTTAATTGGTTTTGCCTGCAATACTTTGATGTATGGCCTTACCCTAGTTTGTAACAGTTACATTAGATGGAAATTAAACTTTTTTCTGGACTTAATGTCGTGACAGATTTCATTACACCTAGGTGAACATGCAGGTGAACACGCAACTGTGCCATTTTCAGTGATTTGATTGAAATATATTTGGCCTCCAGCTGGATGATGAATTACTGGGGATTGTGGAAATCATATTTGGTGTGTAAAGTACTATTTGGACATGATAACTTTTCCATAGGGAGGTGGAGCGATGTAATTTTCCGGACATCTGAAATGTTTATAGCTCTATTCAAGCTGGATTAGTTTTAAATAATGTGAGTGATAACTGAAGATAGATTTTTATATAGGACAAATCTGCAGTGTTTTTAGTTTTTACAAGTCTACTAAGTAATTATTCCGTAGTGAATTATTATCTTTTATATTTCAACAAACTTGGAGCTCCCTCTGAAATAGTAGTCCTGTTCGAATCGACCTTGCGGTAGTGGAGTAATAAAACCAGAAGGCCCTGTCACAAAACACTGACATCAACATGCATGCAATGGTATTTCAAACCAGGCTATTTGGAGAAATTAAACTGATGCTTCATGACATACAAATTGGCCAGTCAAATCCCGCACAGATTACATAACCGGACCTCCTCTGGTAAATTAATCATGCTCAGATAGGCCTTATAACAGATTCAAACAGACCAGAAATCTCAGTCCAAATTACAGAGATGGTAATGGCTTTTTGATATATGCATAGTAATAGTAATGTCTTTTACCACCTTCCTAGCTGTCATAGGTCAATGCAGTGCCATTTACTTTGTCATTGGCTTGGGAATTTACAACCAACAGTAGTAACCATTAAAATTGCCATTTGAAAGAGTGCAATTTTCAGATCACAAGAGCTACAATTTTAATCATGTCCAACATTATTCAAAGTTGTTAAGTTTTAGGTGAGTAAATTTAAACCAATAACACAGTGTTCAAGAATCAAGCTTCAAAAAATGGATGTTTGTCTTCTTGAGGAAGAAAAGACCTGAATCTAATTCAATATTGAGGTATTGGCCAGAAAAACTGCTGAGAGATATTTCCTCAGAACATTCAGCCCTATCCAACAAACAACACTGCTGTATTAAATATAATTTTAAATTGAAATGATGTCACATGAAAGTAAGTCTACTATTAAAATTCAACACTTATGTAATAAAACAGCTACTTCAAATTATTTGTTTCAGGTATTTTTGTGTAGGAAAAAATCGAGTTTGGAACCATTTTGTTCAGCACAGGGGTGTGATGTTGAATCCGTTTTATTTTTTGCAATAGAGAAATCCAGCTTAAATTAGGAGTTTCTAATATGAAGCCGACTACAGAATGACGACATGACTGCAAGTGTCTGTGGTTGTGTTTGTAGTTTGTATTGTAGTGAGAGAACATTGATAAAACACAAAAAGGACTCAAGATCATGAATTCCATCAAACTGATGAGGTTGCAGGATACAGTGCTGCGTGTAACATAACAAAATTATATTAAATGCTAGTTTTAGGCTGGAATCTTAAAAGTGAAGAGGAACAGATTGTTCTTTTAAATTATATACAAGTTTAAATATGTCGCTGTTGTGGGAAGAAAACCTTGTATGTCCAAAATGTTAACTTTACAGAAAAAGGAAAAAACATACTTTTAATGTAAGTCAGTGTAACCAGATTTTTTTCCAAGTACTTTTGGGTCATTTCTTTTAGTCCATTCATGATGAAATTTACATACAATGAAAAGGGTAACAGGTTTTTTCAAAGTATGTCAAAAACTTAATAAAATCAAAAATGGAGATATGAGGTTTTCTTCCAACAGCAGCGATATACAAGTTGTAAATGTCAGGACAGGCTTGGTTGTTGCTGCATATGTAGCTGCTTTTGCATTAGCATAACCACTACTGAATTGGCCCTGAAAGGATCGCAGCTACACTGAAAAAATGTCAGTCTTACAGCACAGAAGTCTAGACTGCTATAAGCAGCAGCGCATGTTCACCCCTCCTGTACTTCCCTCTAGCAGAGCCAGCAGCAAACGTGCTTGTTTCAGAGAGGAAAAGTAGCCACGTTCTGTCAAAATTGGACTTTGTGAAGATGCTGTGCTTGTTGTGGAGCCCAGTGAATGCAATTAATCCCACATTAAGCTATCATTTAGAACAAAAGGCTGCATTTTAGGTGATACCTGCTCTGATGAGGACTTGCTTGACTAGCAAAGGAAACCAGTCAGTACATAGACACAGTCTCACTTGCTCTGAATTGGCAGCAGGCCTGAGAGAAGAGTTCACCTTCTCAGCAGTTGAAAATCTTCAAAAACGAAACATAATTTGGACAGGCGATAAAGTTGGTGTTTGAGACTCTATAAAATTTGTATTTTACTCCATTGATGTTTGACCTACTTCTAAACGTACAGGAGTAAAATCTCTGATGCACATCATTCAGGATCCTTTAGAGCTAAAACTTTAGTTTAAGTTTAGTATTATCAGTATAGGATAAGTAGTATCCCTACCGTTTATATTTTGATGTTTGATGGTTTCCCTGCTGACACACCTGTTCCAGCTTATCAGCTAATCGACCTATCCCTCCTGAGTCAGAGAGCGCGTTAAAGCAGAAAATATCTAGTGCTTTCTTACAATCCCACAGTGCACTGCAAGAGATCGTGTACAAAACAATGTGTCCTAGCACATATGCAACGGAATAGGACTAACATTGCACGGTGATGAATGTACTCATTTAACGTTAGCCTATGTGTGCGTTTACTTGATTTACGAATTCTATTCCCTATAATAGTGTTCCGTATTGTGCTCCTGACTCCTGTAGGCCATAGTGATCAGGAGACTTTTTGTTTCCTATATATACACTATATATAGCGTTCTATATAGTGCTCCTGATTTTATATATATAGGTAAAAACAATTTCGAGACCATTAGGCCTGTCACCATTATTACAGAATCACCAGATCGCAATTAACTAAGCTAACTGCAGTTATTTTCCACAGTTGATCACGTTTGTGTTGCAGCAAACACACAGTGTGAACTGGGTGCGTTTTCAGTGCATTTTCATTCTAAGGGTTGAGGCAAAAGCACACGTAAAAGAAAGCAGAAGACATTTATAGAGGCATTTTATATTATGGATCTTACTAAAACAGCAAAAGTTCTAACTTTTAACTTTTAGAGTTCAGTGGTGAGTGTTTGTTTGTTTGTTTGTTTGTTTGTTTGTTTATTTGAGTTTGAACTGTTTCTGTTGTCAGTTACATGCTAGTAGTGGGCCAGCTACTAAGTATGAACAGCTAGGAAGCAAGAAAGCTAATCAGCCACTTTAGACTTATACTTGGTTGCTGACAGTGAACAAAAAAAGACAATTTCATGATCGTGACAGGCCTGGCTGTAATAGTGTTCTATATAGTGCTCCTTATTTCCAGTGTAGGGAGCAGTGATTAGCAGACATTGTATGTGGCCATATAATAGTGTTCAGTATATGCTCCTGACTCTCCAGGTCGGTAGATCTCCAGGACTAGGATTAGAGGGGCCATTTCAGTCTCAGCATAGACTGTCCTCAACTGGTGATATTTTCGGACCAGGGTCCATTCCCCTGGATATCATTTCCTTTGCTTTTTTTTGTCCTCAGACTTCAAGAAGCGGTTTGGCGTCTCCATCTCCGTCCGATGGATGCCAGACAGCTCCAAGTTCAGACAACAGGAGCATCCCGAAGAGATCTCTCTCGCCCCTCCTGGTCTGAAACATCTGGCTAAGCTTTCTGCTCCACCTCCCCGCTTTCAGATCACCCGACCCACCCACCTCCGAAATTACAGAGACCCTCTTCCTCCTCCTCTTCCTTCTCTTCCTCCTCCTCCTGCTGCTCCACCTTCTCCACCTCTCCTCCCACCCAGGGCTTTTCCCGGGCTGTGGGGGGTCCGGCCCCCCATGTGAGGAACGGGATGGTACCCCTGATCACCAGAAGGCCTGATTTGATGTCCCATGATTCAGTGGTCCAGCTGCAGTGGCTCTGTGAGCTGCACGGCCTTGGCGTCCCGCTCTATGATGTGCGCTACCACCACACGAGCCCAGACGGCTTCCTCCACTTCAACTACAGGTAAGGGTGAGCAGTATGGCAGAAAATATGTTCTAATTCTTGAAGACGGTTTTATGATATCCATCATGTAGGAGGTGGTGAATATTATATTTAACATTATGTTGATTAAATTAGTCTTCAGGGTGCTTTTCTGAGTATGTTGTGGATATCATCAATCAATCAATCAAGCAGCCAAGAAGTGTTTGGTGTCAACTTTGCTTCTTTAGTTAAAACTGGAGCAACAGGGCTAATATAGCTAACAAACACAGGTAGTCAGTAGTCTCCCAAACCGTTTACACAAATACAGTGCTTTGCACAAGTATTCAACCCCCTTTAGTCACCAGATTTGTCTGCATTACGAATGACACAGATTGTTCCAGCCGGTTTTAATGTAATATTCAGATGTTCAAAGTCAACATACATTATTTGTCAGCAGAGCTTTAATTAAAACTGAAAAATGCTGCTTGCGTAAGAATCCACCCCCTTCAGACTAGTACTGGGCAGAACCACCTTTTGATGCAGTAACAGCTTTAAGTCTGATTGAATATGTTTCTACTAGCTTTGCAAACTGTAATCTTCACCCATTGTTTTTAGAAGATTTACTCCAGGTGGTACAAGTTTGTTGGGTGATGCTGGTGGACTGCAATTTTCAACTAGTGCCACAGGTTCCTGATTAGATTGAGATCTGGACTTTGTGTTGCTTTGGCTGAAAGGAGAAGTTTTTCCCCAGCTTTAGTTACTTATCAGACTAGGTTGTCTTGCACCATCCTTCTGTTCTTCAATTTTAACAAGATGCCCAGTCCCCAGGAGGAAATGCATTCCCACAGTATGATGCTGCCACCCCCATACTTCACTGTTGGGATGGTGTTTGTTCAGGAATGAGCAGTGTTATGTTTGCAATACACATTGGGTTTTTTTGGCCAGAAAGCGCAAATACATTATCCCACATTTTAGCTTGGTCACTCTCATGCTTTCTGGCAAAACTCCAGACATGCTTTGACATGTTTTTTCTTCAGTAATGGCTTCTTTCTAGCCACCCTTCCTTACAGATCAGTGGTATGCAGAGCTCCTAATATCGTTGACTGGTGAACCTTCACTCCAGTGTCAGCCACTGAACTCTGAAGTGCCTTCAAAGTGACTTTTAGCCTCTCTGTGGCTGTTGACTTAATCCGATGACTTATAAGGGGGTTGAATACTTACGCAAGGCACTATACATGCCTAAAACTTCTCTTAACCTGCTCAAACCATGTCCAGGGTGAAATTCAAGTCATGCAGCCAAGTTGACCTGGTTTAGGACACAGATGCAGACCTGCCAACCTTTTGTGTAGCAGGTACGCATTTTGATATCAGAGTATGATATGTTTGGTCTCTATATGCAAGAAGCTGGTGATGCCTGCGAGTTCACTTGTGCATGTGCAGTACTCAAATTTAACAGCAAGACGCAGCAGCATCTAGCCTCAACCAATTACAGCGCTGGGTTTGATCCCCAGGGGATGACAAATGCATAATGTCATGCATTTCAAGAGACTGCAAATCGATAGCAACATGAAATGTTTTTTATCCCTCTTGTTCACACAACTGCAGGTAACTTGGTTTACAGTGGTGACTAACAACTTTCTTTGTTGATCCATGTTTAGATGCTCGGGCTGTGATTAATCTTCAGTTGCATGCATGTGAAAGCATGGTGTGTATGATGAACAGCCAGTCGTGCGAAACATGGAGTTGTGCATCTTATTTTTCAAATAAGGAGAAAGAATCAATGTACATTTGTAGAAAGAAAAGCATTCATAATGGCAAGACAGCAATGCTGTTAGTGCCTCATTTAGTAATAACTGCTTTATATTCCTAACATCTTTCTGGTATGATTTGCTTCCTGCGCTGAGAAGGTAATTTCCTCCCTGCAATCGACGCAGTCATGCAGGGGAAAAAGAGTTCTTCTCCATCGGTCACTGATTGGTTAGAAGCTCGGCCCTCGTCTAAGAGCTGTTTATGATATCGAATATACAAGATATTCGATATCAGTCAGTATCAGTTTTGGTATCGGAAAAGAAAAAGTGGCATCATGCCTACACATTTATTAATCTCTAATGATATATCGTAATATTGTCCACTCTTACCTTACAGGGTCATTATTCCGAGACTACCTGTACCACTCTCCGGTGTTGTCCAGATTCTGCCTGGCATCAGCGCCAACACCATGGAGGACGAGGTCCACCGGGCTGTTGCTGAGCAGGCCATTAAAGTCATGTGCCACAAGTACTAGTTGATGATCTTTTTTCGACAGCTCGTGCCTGATGATGTATAATCAGTTTTGTGTTCAGTATTGAGATCAGAAAGCATGTAGTGTTGAAGCACTGTAGCTCCCTAACCAGTGAGCCGGGGTACACGGCAGGGAGAGATGTTTTGGTTTTTGTTGCTTAAACTACCTCAATTACCTAGTGTTTTATGTTTTATCTTTTGATACGCTGTTTTATAATGTTTTAATTATGTATTAATATGAATATAATTTGTGTGTTAGTATCTTGCGGATTGTTTGCACCCTTTTCAAGCATGATTTTTGCATGTGTTTGATTTCATACTTTTGAGTGGATTTGTTGTGTGTTGGTTTCTTTACGTGTTGCACTTATCTAAAAAAAAAAAGTTAGATCATCTTTTCAGCCCGTATCTGCACTATTATTAAACGGTTCTTCTTGACTGGGTTCCAGATATTCTGCAGTTTTCTTTGATGGATCAAACACATTTTGCAGCCATTTTAAGCAAGATCTCATGGTTGTCAAACCCCACTCCTGGAGATACAGCGTTTGTTTGTACTCAGGTTTACTGAAAGTAATCATAACTGATATAATTGGCTGATGAGAGAAATTAGTAGTGAGTTGAAATCCTTCCATAGGTGGGAGTTTTGTCCACTGTGCTGCCACAATCAAGCTCAGATAATGTGACGTACAAACAGTGCAAACTGCGCTAACTTTAGCTGGCGTGGAGTTTTCAGTCATGTTTCAAATGATCATGAAAACATAACAGACCCCCCCATCACCTCCTGCTGTCTAGTTTATTGCATCTGAAGTAGCCCAACATGGGCCTAACATAGCCAGTTTAAAGAATCTTCTTATCCTTTATCCTAAATTAAGATCTGACAAGGTCAGGATACGATTTTCCACAAATGTGTATTACAGAAGTAAATCTTATCTTGATTTAGGAATTACACCCATCAGACATAACATTATGACCACCTCCTTGTTTCTACACGCATTGTCCATTTTATCAGCTCCACTTACTATATAGGTGCACTTTGTAGATCCACAATTACAGACTGTAGACCATCTGTTTCTCTGCATACTTTGTTAGCCCCCTTTTACCCTGTTCTTCAGTGGTCAGGACCCCCATGGACCCTCACAGAGCAGGTACTATTTGGGTGGTGGATCATTCTCAGCACTGCAGTAACACTGACGTGGTGGTGGCGTGTTAGTGTGTGTTGTGCTGGTCTGAGTGGATCAGACACAGCAGTGCTGCTGGGGTTTTTAAACACCTCAGTGTCACTGCTGGACTGAGAATAGTCCACCAACCAAAAATATCCAGCCAACAGCGTCCTGTGGGCAGCGTCCTGTGACCACTGATGAAGGACTAGAGGATGACCAACACAAACCGTGCAGCAGCAGATGAGCTATCGTCTCTGACTTTACATCTACAAAGTGGACTGACAAGGTAGGAGTGTCTAATAGAGTGGACAGTGAGTGGACACAGTGTTTAAAAACTCCACCAGCACTGCTGTGTCTGATCCACTCGTACCAGCACAACACACACTAACACACCACCACCACGTCAGTGTTACTGCAGTGCTGAGAATGATCCACCACCCAAATAGTACCTGCTCTGTGAGGGTCCATGGGGGTCCTGATCACTGAAGAACAGGGTAAAAGGGGGCTAACAAAGTATGCAGAGAAACAGATGGACTACAGTCTGTAACTGTAGAACTACAAAGTGGACCTATGTAGTAAGTGGAGCTGATAAAATGGACAATGAGTGTAGAAACAAGGAGGTGGTCGTAATGTTATGCCTGATCGGTGTATATCTTAACTTGCACTCCTAAAAAGATGTTTTTTTCAAGGGATCTTTAATAACAGGAATCATTTCATTCCATATAGAACCATATCGTGAAATGGTTCTTAAGATTGACGGAGAATGGGTTGGATATGGTTCTATGTGGAGCCTTTTTAAAAATGGTTCTGCTATTAGTTAAAATGTCAAGCTTGCAACAACAGAAGAATCCTTTTTGGTGCTATAAAGAACCATTTTCAAAAAGGTTCTAGATAAAACCATATACAAAGCATTTCACCACGCATGGAACCATTCCAGCATGAAATGGTTCTATATACAAGTCATGGTTCTAAATAGAACAACTCCCTTTATTAAAGAACCCTTAAAGAACCATCTTTTTTTGGAGAGTGTACAGAATCTCATCTCCAGTACCAAAATAGTCGATCAAGGTGGATAATCAGTTATTTGTGTTGCCAAACAACCAACGATACACACAAAGCTGAAACCTAAACATGTAATTAAAATAATGTAATAATGTAAGTTACTAAGATTAATGATGTACAAAAAACAGATAAAACAAAACCGAAGTGTGATAAACTGGCAGTTTTGATTAGTGACAGAATCCCCTGCTTTTCTACAGGATGCCACTCTGCAGTGTCAGTGTCCATTTCCCAAAGCTTTAACCGGTTATTCCTCCTTAAAACAGCCACACTCTTCAATTCTGTCTCCTCATTATTCACCAACATCACAGTGATATTTTATCTAGTTGTAAAACCTGGTTACAGTAAACTTAAGTTGCCTGTCACAGTTGCCTAAAAACAATAGAAATGGACGGTTAACACAGAAGTCAGAACATCACTGGTGTTACACTAAAGTTAGGACAGCATTTATGATATTTTGTCCAGTTAGGATGCTTTTGTAAAACTCTTATCTGGAGTTCATAATCAGGATAAGATTATGAACTTGAGAACTGTTGTTCTGTAATGGCTTCTGTCCTAAATTCAGTTCTAACTGAAGTGGTTATGGTGACTGAACAGATAAGATCTCAGCGTTAGGATGTCTGTTAATACAGCCCCTGAGCAATTGATGGACTTCTGTTTCCTCTCATACCAGCTGAGGAGCACTCAGTCAGCTTCATCAGATCAGTCAGGGCCTTGTGCGCAATGACTGTAATGACCGTGAAAGACGAGGTTTTTCCAAATTCCAGCAGTGTCTCGGTCAGAGGCACGAGTATGTAAGACTCATGTATGAGAAAAATGACGAAGCTTAAGTTGGCTTCTTATTCCGATTTCCTTTTCTACCTTAAATGATGCAGCTCTTACATTCAGACGCCTGCACAGGTGGAACAGAGAATTCAAATAAAACTGCCGAACAAGAAGCTTCAGCCTTGTAGAAATTCAGACATGAATTAATATTTTGCTTAATAAAATATTTATATAGATTTACTTCAGCTTAATTTTTTTTTTTTGTTTAAAAAGTGAAAGGGGCATCCCAGAATCATAAGCCACTGTTACCCTATAGATTTACTTAAGCATCTAAAATGATTTTATTTGGAAATGTATACTGTGATACTGTTACAGACATTTTAATCACACCATGATTTACATTTTTGGCCTTTACACTGACTACTAAGAGAAATCAGGTGTGATAGCAGTAGGAGAACGCTAGACTGTGCTGTGCTGAAGTCTGTAGCTGGATTTTAGAAATGACAGCTGTGCGGTTTATACTCACTGCAGGCTTTAGAATGTTTTTACCGAACAACCCAAACGGCACTGAGTCAATTTTACCACCTGAGACAGTTAGTTGAATTTTAAGCTGATGAAGTTCAGCTCCTGAGAGTTCAGTGATGTTATGGGTGTGAGCTGATACACACTCTGTAGCTCCAACAGAGAATATAAAATCTATTAATCTTAACGAAGACCTGGATGTGGTATGAACAGGTCAGGAAAAGTTTTGGTTTGGCTGTTTGGCTCACTAACGAAGCAAAGTGTGGACTCCAAACATGTCTCGACTGATTGACTATATCTAGGGTAAGTGAAAAATGTGCAAATTTGATTTTATTTATTTTTGCAGAACCTTTTGCCTCTATAACTCCATGGAACCACTTGTTCCAAAACGCACGTCATATTCTTTACTTCATAACTTTCAAAAGGTGGGTGTCATATGAGAACTATCTTCTTTCCAGTCAAATAGATGGTTAATGTAATTTTAAACCCTTATAATAAAAGAAGCTGAACTCACAATTTATTTTTTCTACTGAAAGTTGACCCCCCACATATCTGAGCTATAAACTGGATCTCAGATGGTGTCTCTTCAGTGATATGCACTAAAAAAAAAAAATACAAAGAGCACCTAAGATTTTTGGTTTTCAGCAGTAGATTGACAGCATATGACATGTTTATGATCATAAAACACATCGTCTGTTAATTTGAGGGGAACAAAACGTTTTTACAAAAAAGGTTTTACAAAAAAATACCAACACTTTACATTTGATTCATGCAGTTACTGAATAATTTGCCTTAGGATTTGTGCATGTAAATTCAGATGGAAAAACCAAAATATACCCTGGTTAATACAGTGCAAATCCTAGGGCTACACCAGTCTCTTGAGAGTTCCTGTCCATCCTAGCCTTCTATAAACTATTCTATAAACTTTGTACTTCAAATTTGAGCACAACAACACTGACACACCCACATTTCAGGATGATATCTGTAGGGTGCCTGTATGGGACTGGTTCAGTAGACATGATGGAGCACTGGGACGGTTTGATTGACCAGTAAAATCACCAGACGTCAATCCCAATTCTCAGGTTAGAACAGCAGGTGAAATGCTGAAGCACATATAAACCCTAACTGAAATGCTCCCAGTTTGTGGAAGAGCAGGCTAAAATAAACAGGAACTCTCTGGAGACTAGCGCAGTCCTTACCTGTTAGGACTGATGGTGTTAAGGCAAGAGCACACGCAGCCAAGTATTAGAAAAGAAACAAAGCGTTTACGATGTAACAGAAAACGTCCATAGTCTGTGATGGAACAGCACATTTATTTTAAAGTATCTGACAAGTTTATTTTCATACAGGCAGATGACAGACTGAGAATGAAACAAAAGCTAGAATATTCCTTATCTGGTTTACGTAAGCAATGAGAAAGTCTGAGTATGAGGTGTGCTGAGGGATTATTGGTGTATGGTAAACAGGTCTAAGACTCTGAGGTCCTTTTCTTGATCTCTTCAACCAGTTCTGCTCTGGACACGTCCACCTGTGAAGGACAAAGAGTTTTTTAATAACGGTTACTGTTTCAAATTTCAAAAAAGCGATGAGGCGTTCAATCTCTAAAGCCCGGTAACACCATTATCAATGTGACCAAGGCAGTAGCAATCATGTAAATCCAAAGGTCTAGACCAGGGGTGTCGAACTCAACCAGTAAAAGGGCCATATTAAAAAATCTCAGCAAATCTGTGGACCAGCTGTGTTTTTATTTCAGTTTCTTTTGCCATGACCTGAACAGATTGATTATTCAAAATATGCAAAACTGCAAAACAGGCATTGAAAACTTATTAAAATATTATTCTAAATAAAAATAAATTGTTTTAGGCATTTTTTAACAGATGCCTATTTGCTTAAACCAGGCATCTTTTCTTTTGGTGTAACAGCTGGCCCAGAGATTGTTGTTGGGGGGGGGGAAGGGTCAGAACGCTTGTTGCAGTTCTGTAATGCATGTAATGGGGACTGTAATGCATCTCAGGGTGAAATGGGTTAATAAGAATAGAGAATCAAAATAATTTTGCAGGCTGAACAGGACTGTGTCCTGGGCCTGACTTGGCCCGCGGGCCTTGTGTTTGACACATGGGGTCTAGACTACACTGTTTGAAATAAAGGTTCTGTGCAGGTACATTTTTCGTTCATCAAGGTACAAACAATGTAAAATGTTCCCCTAAAAGGTACAACAGTGGTTTTAAGGTCCAATTGTGAACATTAAATACGTTTTTCCCAGTGAAAAGTACATATTTGTTCCTTTTTATAACCGAATGATTTAAAACAGGACAAAAATAAAAAGCCTGAATCTGAGACAGGGTGTGTGGAGTCAATACAAATTACAAAATATAATTTCAACTGTTGTTCAGTTATCTTCCCTGACTAAAGGTACTGAGATGTACCCTTGAGGGTACCACCCCAGTGACAGTTTCATACCTTAATTTCTGAGAGTGTACAGACAGCTGTGCTTTATTAGTGACTGGTCAAAATGAGTCATTTTAATTCAGCAGCATAATTCAAATTTGTTTATTTCTGCTGCACACTTGTACAGCTGTGGGGAAATTATGGGTGGAATTCTGAGAGCAAATATACTTCAGTAATTATTTCTAATAGATTCCTATAAATTGTGGCTTGCTTGCTGATCTAACACTGCTGTATCTTCTTATCTTATTCTCCAACACTAGTTGTCAGACCAAGCCTTAGCTTTTCAAATACTGAATTTCAAAAGATGTTAAAAGTCTACAATATCTTTTCCACTGCAGAACAAACATTACCCCAGCCTCTTTCTTAAGTTTCTTTTACCATTTTACCATTTGTTCATCCAATTCAAGAAGTGACAACAGTGGGTCAGCAATGGTCTATGTATTCAAGTTGTTCTCTGTACTGCTGACTGCTGCTGTGGTGGATTTTAAATTGCATGAGTTTTTAACTGTTCTTGGGTTTGAAAATATGCACTGAATTAGGTGTCAGTGAAGCCAAATCAGTAAATATCTGTGTCATGTGTGTTTTGCTGTACTGACCATGGTTAGAAAAACCATGCTGCGGAAACATGATGGTTACAGTTTATAAGCTGTATTCTGTTGAAAAAGCCATTGAACAGCCGCTCACTCTCTCGGCACTACAGTGGAAAAGTGTCTTATGTTTGCGCCAACAAAACTCTGTGCTCATCGGCGATGCAACATCATGAAGCATGTCGCTCTGAGCAGAATAATGTTAGGCTCATGTTTACTCCATGATGCTTTTCTTACCTCCTCTCTGGTGGCCACGTTGCGCAGTTTGACGACTCCGTCTTTGAGCTCCTGCTCCCCCAAAATTGCCACCAGGGGGATGCCAGTCTCCTCACAGTGCTGCAGCTGAGTCAGTAGCTTCGGATTCTTCTTATACAACAATTCAGCCTGCAGCCCCCAACAGAGAAAATGGTCAAATCAAACACCTCTGACACAACAGAGCAACGGACATGCAGTGCTTCATATGGCAACATTTACACAGGCTGTGCTCAAAATGATTCCTGATTTGCACTTTTAAGTACTATTAAGCACTGACTGAAACATCTTGGTACTGCCACATACCAAAACGTGTACTTTGAAAATAAATAAATAGGTGCCTATTTCTCATGCTTTGGATGAAAAATTTCATCATAAAAGATCATTAGAATTATTTTATATAAAGAAGAACAAGAACAAGAACATTTGATTAAAAACAGGATTAATATCTGTCGAGAAATCTGCATGAAGAGCAGCGCTAATGTTAATATGTAGCTGCTCAGGATGGGAAAATCTGGGCAAAACACAACCAAACACAGAAACGCAAGATAACAGTTCACTTAGCAGCTTTCTGACTTTAGCAAAAGAAAGTTAACTCCTAAGGCGTTCGTTAGTGTCACGTTAAGATTCAGCTAATAGCAAAACTAGCAGTTTTTAGCAAGCCAGCCAGCTGTCGTGTGCTGCTAGATTTAACCTGCACATATGTAATAAATCATTCTCTATGGGTTTCATAAATGAGCCCTTTTAACTACAACATTTAGTTTTCAGGTGAGAGCTTTGAACAGTTCTTCTGAATGTAATGATCTTCTACAAGAAAACCACATCTTTCATTATAGCAAAAAAAAGCCAAGGATGTCAGTTGGGAGGGGGGAACGAATGTCACAGAGCAGTAACCACAGACGATGATTACTTAGTCTGTTGAGTAATAGTCTATTAAAACTGAGTCCAAGTGATCTTCACACGCACTCACCTTAATTCCTGCGTTCCACAGCTCAGCCGTCAGTCGGAGTCTCTCTTCCAGAAGGTTCTTCTGTGCGGAGGCCACCAGAACTTGCGTTTCTGTGGTGCGAACCTTTTCTGCTGACAGCTACAAATACAAAGACCATAACACTCACAATAAATTCTCACGGATAAACTTTTAAAATAAACTTTTTTTCGGTGTAAAGAACCAAATGCCACTCAGAAGACTACTCCAACTCCAAATCTTACCACCAGTGTGGAAAGGGTTGAAGAGTCAGGTTTCCACAGAATTTGATAATAATGAAACTCAACACAGATCTTAGAGTAGAGCATCCGTACCCTAGGGAATGCCTGGGGTCAGCGATTCTGAAAAATGCATTTTGTCTAATTCACTCATATCAGCACAAAACACACACTAACACACCAGGACATCACAGTCACTGCAGTGCTGTAAGGTAAGTGGAGCTGGTAAAATGGACCAAGAGTGTAGATACAAAGCAGGTTTACTTAATGAGGTTTCCAGTCGGTGTATATAGACACAAAAGTCTCTTCAAAGTCATGTTTGTACATATTGCAACTGGCTAGGATTATAATGTAATAGAAAAGCAGTCATATATACAGTCACAACTGTATTAATTTACTGACATGATGTAACATACCCCCCCCTTTAAAATACATATATACACACACACACACACACATATTTTATATATATACCACCCAAGACTTTTCTGATAAAAAAAGAAAAAAAAAATTACATTAAAAAAAAAGCTCCAAAATATCAGATATGTCTGAGCAGCGCAGTGAGAAATGCTTACTAAAACACCTAGCATTAGATTGTAGCACATTAACTGTCAATACCTGTTACCACAAAAGCTGGTTATCACCCGCCAGCGTGGTTATCTCACTGCACATAATAAATAAAAGTACACAATGAAGGCGATGAAAAAAAAAAATGTAGAAAAAGTTATTTTAAAAGGTATTTTCTCCTCACGTCTGTGTGGCTCACCTCTGCTTTCTGCTCCATTATAGAGAAGATTCTTTCAATACCGATGCTGACCCCCACGCAGGGCACTTTCCTGCCCTTGGGGTCGAACATGCCCACAAGGCCATCGTATCGTCCTCCACCGGCCACACTGCCCACACTGACGCCTCCCTCCTCCCCGGACACCGCTCCGTTCTGCTCTGCGGGTGCTGGGGTGGGGGCCTGAACTGTCTGACACAGCACAGCTTCATAGATCACACCAGTGTAATAATCTAATCCACGCGCCAGACTCAGATCGAACACCACCTACAGAGAGAGGGTTACAAATACAATACAAAGGCTCACGAATACTAACTTGGACCCAGTGCAATTAACAATTATTTCTATAATCAGACTACTGTTTAAATTAACAATAATCATAATAATGTCTAATAATATCTGTTTGGAATGCCTGAATGCATCGTGAACAATACGGAGCACATTTCCTCCACACAACTGCGTTAGACTATGCTGATATTTTTTCATAATTGGCATCAACTTCGTTCACTCATCATTGTGGCCCTTTTTGGATCCAGTAAATCGAACACTGTATTACAGAAAGTGTTAAGTTCATATGTAGTTAATACCTGCTACACATAGCAGAGCATGTGATAGTACAAAAATATTTTGTTTAGGCTAAACTGGGTCAACACTCATTATCCTCCTGCTTCACCACTCATTATTTCAGTGCCTTTAACCATTCTGAGGAACATTTTTCACAGTAAGGAAGTCCTATCTCAAACGCTGGTTCAGCCAAATATTACAATGTACCCCCTTTCCCCAAATGTTCTTGATCAGCCAAGACATGTTTGGGTCTGAAGTTTCGCCTTCTGTTTCGCACTGGAGCTACAAGGCTGATACAGCTAACAAAGACTAGAAGCTCATACCCCACTAATTAGCCTAAATCATCAAAACCTTTACTCAAACTGAGTCAAACTGTTAAGGAATCTCATATAGTCTTGTTTATGTGGTCTCAGGCACTGTATTATATAAAAAAGGACAAAAGTGAGTCTTAACCAAAAAACAGAGCTAATAGACACCTTGAAGCTTTGTGTCTGTAATTTTGTCCATTTTTATAGATAACAGTCTGTCATAGTGTCAGAAACCACATAAGCAAATGTATTTGAGATTACAACTCAATAGAACACATCAAAAGTGTCTGAGGCGAGTAAGTGATGTCTGAGAGACGCAGTTCAACACGATGCCAACAAACGGCTTTAAACACTAAACACTAGCTGCACTAGCCTCATAAAGCACATTCTTCGTTCGGCTGTCCAGTGACATTGCGTGAAAAGAAGCGGTGGCACTTCACAGGTCACGGAGGAAGCCTGTGTTAGCCTTCACCCTCCTTGATAGTATTATGTGATTGGGGGAGTCCTAACCAGCGGGTGGAATTGGAGACGACTAAATTGGGGAGAAAATCAGGTAAAAATTAAAATAAAGAAAAAAAAAACGTCTTGGCTGATCAACAACATTTGAGGTAAGACAAATTATAAATTTGACTTGTTTCACTGAACAATCACTTTAGAATGGTTTTCAATTGAGAATTTCCATTTACTGAGTAATTTACTTCAAGACCAGACTCAGACTGTGTGGAAAACAGGTCATGTGACTGTGGCCTCTGAGCTCACCTTGTCTGTGATCTGGAAGAGCTGCAGGTAGCTGAAGAGCTGTTTCATGTCAGTGAGGCCAGCACAGGCCTGCTTGCTCTGAGAAAGCTTCGGGTCCTGAAGCAGCCTCTCGGCCAGGTCCATCCCACCTGCGGCAAACAAGAGCCAGCGGTCAAAATTCACAGTAGAGTACATGAACACTGTGAGTGACAGTTGTCCCACAGCTGGTCAACCACCACAAATGTGTCATATACTAAGGGTGAGAATTGCAAGAGGCCCCAAGATATGATATCAAAGTATGTGAGCAATAATGTGACTATTGTGATATTAAGAAGTTAAACAGTAGTTAATAAAATGGCTATGTCTGTGCTGTACCTATCACGACCCCTGGTACCACCACTGTGAGTCAGTAAGCTTTTCTACAATGCAGCACTTCACATAAAACCACTGCATTATCCCCGTTTAATAATTTGAGATATGTTAAGTACGAACACTGGGATACTAGGGTTAGTCCTCATCTGCTGCTTTAAAACCCAAATAATATGAAAGGTCTTGACAGTTGCTGATCATGAGAGATTATGTACTGTGTTACAGGGAGTAAGCACTGAAACCGCCAGAGTAAGAAAAAATATTATTTCTAGTATGAGAAACCTGCAACAATACTCAGTGTGAATAATAAAGAAAATTATTCGCATAAATCAGCATATTAATTGCCTCCCTGTTGCCTGTAGTCATATAAGCCAGTCACAGTGAAGGAGGGAGGCAGTTGCAAAGCTTCTTTAGGCTAGCTGTACACTGCAGGATTTGTTTAAACATGTAAACAAGCTAATCCCAGAATGAGCTCCTGACCATTTCGCAGTACAAGACTCCAGCTAACTGGCACTCGTAAAAATAAAACAAGACTTAACCCTTCAAACCACAGCTTATTTCTGGGCTTTTTGACGCCACTTCCTTCATCACTAGGCTCCTAACCTTGTAATTACATGAGGCAGTCATTCATGCCACATTATTATTTTTCCAGACATCCATTCATGTGGCCATGATTTGATATTTTAATGCTAACACAGTTCATTACAATTAAAAAAATCATTCACATTTTTTCAGGTGTAGCCAGAAAGACCCGGTTGTAGTGTTTCGCTCAGGGCCAACAGACTGACATGAGGATTTAATATTAGCTGTTATTGACTGACAGTTCAGTTGTGGTAGAAGGACACCCGACACCCCCTTCACCCCCCCCCTTCTCTCTTGTTGATAGATGGGATGGTGTAAGGGAGAGGTGAAACATGTTATTATCGCCTGCCTGCTGGTGCAGAGATGAACTGTGCTTAATCTCACCAGGGACAGAAACCAACATTGTAAAAACAGTTAGTTTTGTTTTAGGTTGACTTAATTTTTTTGTTTGATTTTTTTATTATATTGTGAGCAAATACACAGTAGCAGTCAAAAGTTTGGACTACTCACAGAACGGTTTTCCTAATTTTTTGCAATCGTCCACATTTTAGAACAACAGTGACGGCATCAAACCAATGAAAATATACACCAAAAAAAGCTGAAGAATTGTTTTGGAAATAATTTCATGCATAAGCTTCAACTTTAGATCAAAATGTATATCACTGGTAGTCAATAGGCAATATGATCATATTTCAATGTCCCCAGTTCAATGACCTGTTTTGTTGATTTTCTAAGTAAAATTAGCAGAAAAGAGAATGTGTATTTTCAGTGGGCAATTTCTATTCAAATTCCACATATTGGGGAAAAAAAAACAAAATATAAAATGTCCCATATCTTTATTTTGTTCAGTAAATAAGCAGTAGTTGTGCAGTATAATGTGCAGAAGTAAGTTTCTCTGTAGAGAATGTATTATTATTTTAATTTGTTTAGAAAATCAACAAAACATGTCATTTGGCTGAGGGTGCCCAAACTTGTGCATGCAACTGTATAGTCCTACAAAACCAGGTATAGTCACAAATCCTCTCTTTCCCTTTTCTGATTCAAGGGGAAAATGAAGAGGTCAATGTTGGTCTGCTTAAAAATACAACAATAGAAACACATACAAATAAACAGAAACTGAAAAGAGTAGACTTCAAGTAGACAGCAGGTTCAAAGCCCCTCCCACAATTTCTCACACCTGTCAGGAGTGTGGGGGGGTGGGGGCTGTGAGGTTGGTCAGGCCACAAACACACACAGCTGTCTCACAGGTCAACTATAGGTCAACTGTAGTTGTGCCTTTGCTCACTTGCTCACTCCTGTGTCTTTAAACACAGTTCAGAGAGCATATGTGCATCTGTCCTTCTCCCTTTATCAATGACTAAACCTTTCAGCAAGTAATCAAACAAAAGCAGTGTTAGAAAGGTGTACTGTCTGAGGTAAATAAATAAATGAGTGGTATTGATAAAGGCACTATACTTACTCAGAGACACACAAATCAGTGAAATAAGATACGGACTACTGTGACAAAACTGTAAATAAAGGCCGAAATATAACATCAAGTAAAAGGAGTGATTTGAAAACAATGCTGAACAAAGCTGATTATTCACGACTTCATAGAACAGTGCAGCCCCCATGCTGGTTGGAAAGGCTCATTTGTGAGCATGAAGCGTTTCTTTACTTCGAAGTAACGAAGTGTGACAATGCCTGCAAATTGCATTTCCTATATTCATTGAAAAACATCCCAGACTACAGCCTTGATTGACCCGACAGCTCCGACTGAGCCTCTGAGGAGCCATTTTACCCAGATCTTAAAAATTTGTTTGGAGCGGCAAACCAAAGCTAAAATCAGAAAGAAGATCTGTAGTAAGCACTCAGATTTAGAACTGGGCCACAGACTCTCAGCTGCCAGAGATGAGGCTCAAAGCACAGAAGAGATGAGCACACAGAGCTCAGAAGATAGCTGCAGGCAGAGATCAGTAAACTAGTGAAGATCAGTAAACAAAACCCTCACACAGACACTGTCGTTCAACAAGTTAACCATTTCAGCACAGCACCTAACTCCTCAGCTAGGACGCTCAAATACAGCAACAGTTCAACAACAGAAATCACACAATTGTTCTCTTACCCCATCAGCTACATCTGAGGTACATGGTACAGGGAAAACACTGTGAATCAGATTTTGTTTGTCATGCAATCACTTTAATCTAAGACTAAGTCTGGACTGGATGACTGGTAACAAAAAATCCTGAATTTTGATGAAGTTAGCAAGCAAACCCAACTACCTGAGTCACCAAACAAACCATAAAACACTAACAACAGAACAGCTTGCAAAAGCATAGTGGACATATTCTTAGTAACTTACTGAAGATCAGTATTTTAAGGCAGTGTGCTTTTCAATCTGGGAGATCATCTTTTGGAGGCAGTCATAGAATAGTTGTGGTGGAAAAAAGAACAAAAAGATAAGTTTTTGGACAATATATCCTAAAAATGTTTTTTTTTTTTTTTTCATAATATCTGCCACACCAGTGATACTACATTGTCAATGTTAGTTACACTAGAAAAGGATGGTGTGAGTGAAACATACGGAATTGTAGCAAAAACAAATAAATTACTGCGGTGTGCAGTAGCGCTTAGCCGAGCAGCTAACCAAGATGATCACAAGCTAATGAACCAATAGGGATGAGTCAGAATGTTTGAATGTTTCCAAGTCATGGAAGTAAAAAATAAAATAAAATAAAATAATAAATGAGAATTTTCTGTATGCAAATTAGCTTGTCTTAAACAGTAAGAACAATGAGATGTCTGAACTCCACAAATGGGCAGTTTTCATAATTTTCTTGTTTTTATCTATAAATGCCTGTCTTTCAAAATGGTAAGCAGGGAAGATAAATATACAGAAGGGGCTTGGTTGCCATGGTGACCTTCAATTGTACTGAGGTGGCTATCGGCTGCACTGTTGGGGCTAAATTGTATTTTTTATATTACAAACTGAAGCCCATGGACTCTTTTAAGCCCACCGTTCCAACAATTTATATCTGCTGTGTTCAGCTAACTGCTGACATTTAACAATGAACACCAATGAGACCAGTCTGCTGTGTACTACAAACTACGAAGACAAGCAGACAGAGAGAATTTAAATGTGTGTGTGTGTGTGTGTAATTTTTGTAAGAGTTTATCGGTTATCACAGAAGGAAGTGTAGAAAGATTACTGCAGCCGGCTAAAGGCTACTGCATGCTGGACACGAAGTTCAGCTCAGCACAGCACTGTCAGAGGGTCTCTGATGACTGGTAGCAAATAGTACAAAGCGCAGTTGAAGCACATAGTAAAGGTTGTTTTAAAAAAATAAAAAATAAAAAAATAAAAATAAATAAAAAAAATAAATAAATAAATGCAGATAAATGTCAAGCTTAAGCTCCTTTTAGCATTTTAAGCTTCATCATGTTTATTATGTTTGGTGTCAGCTAACTTACTCTTCACAAACTCACTGTTTTCCAGCTAAAAAGTATGACATGAAATACGACATGGCTGGGCTGCAGCCAGGGGTTGGGATATTTTTGAATAATGCTTTAAAAATTTTTAATATGAAATTTGGCTGAAAGGCCCACCCCTGTTAACTCGCCAATTACAAACAGTAAAAACACCAAATTGTCATCTTTTACCAAAAAAACAAACAAAAAAAAAGTTATACCATCTAATACAGACTCCAGACTGACGGCATATCATGCTGCCTTTTTATGTGTTTATTTACACCAATTGGAAAAGAACTATATAAAAGGCTGTGCTTAGACACTGCTAATCATGGCTGCTATATGAAGCTTTTCCCCCTTAGAGGTCAAGGCAGCAAAAACAGCAGCGCTACTGGTCAAGGTTGTGAATTTGCATATCAAAAGTTGAACTTTCCCACACAACATGTATTCACTTTTGAAGTCACCGCTCACTGAGATGAGTTCTGTTGAAACTAACGTAATTTTGCTGGCGAAATTTCACTGATGAAGGTTAGTGTGACTGGGCTTTTAAGCTTTAAACCACTACGTTTCACAGCACTGCAGTGTAGTATTTTTCCCACCACAGTACACCTGATTCATCTCATCAGGGGCTTCATAATCAGCTGACTTATTTAGTTAAGTGTGTTAGAGTGGTGGTCCCCAGCCTCAGTCCTGAGGATGCATTTCCCTGTTTAAAATTTTCCCTACCCCAGCCCACCTGATACCCAGCTCAGGAAAGGATCGATAAATAACTGATGGATTGCATCAGATGTGTTATTTGACACTGACGTTTTGAACGTCTGTAGTAAAGCAGGAACACACTCAGCTGTGCCGTGATGTGGTCCTCCAGGACAAATACAGCTTAGATGACTGATTTAAAGAGGCTGTTCATGAAGCCAAGTAAACATGAAGTGCTTGAAAGAGGGGGTTTGGATGGGGACACTGTGCTCTGAAGAAATCCCATCAATCCTATAAAGCTCAGAGTAGAGGCAGAGGAGCCGTGTAGGAGGAGCTTAAAGGGTGAGAGAAGGGCAGAGTGAGACAGAGAGAAAAGAGAAGAGAAAGAAAATGAGAAGAAAGAGGAATACAGGGGGGGAGCAAGAGTAAGAGACAGAGTGGGCGAGAGAGAGAAAGAGGGGGGGTAGAGGGGGGGCAAGAGTAAGAGACAGAGTGGGCGAGAGAGAGAAAGAGGGGGGTAGAGGGGGGAGCAAGAGGAAGAGAGAGAAATGGGGCGAGAGAGACGGAGAGAAAGTACGATGGAGACAAAGATAATGTGTGAGAGAGAGAGAGAGAGAGAGAGAGAGAGAGAGAGAGAGAGAGAGAGAGAGAGAGAGAGAGAGACAGACAGACTGACAGACAGACACTCACCCTGCATGCTGACGTACTCTCCAATCTGATCAGCCACTTCCTCAGAAAGGCCTTTTTCTTTTACCATCTCATTCTTCACATCCTCCCACAACATCTGCGCACACACACAATCACAGGACAAGATTACATGCTGTATGTTTGCAAATCTAGTTACAAATTATGATTTTTGGCTACATGAGATATTTTAGCTTCAGTCCTCGAGAGCCGAAACACTGCAGAGTTTTCTAACCCAAACACACTTGACTCAGGCAATGAAGGGCTTGTTAATTATCAGGCACTTAGAATCAGGTGCATTCCAGGAAAACAACAAGCTGTGTGGAACTGCACTCCTGTAGGACTGGAATCAGTCTAAAACAACTCTGATTCTCTTAGTAAGTAGTGTTTTTGAGGTCATGGTGACTTTTTAGCTTGTTACCTCATGTTGCTGGTCATATTGAACACGATTCATCACAGACTATTTAAGACTATTTAAGACAAAATTCTTGTTGTTCCATAATCTTTAGCCCAATCCCATTTCACCCCTTGCCCCTCCCACTTCGTCCGTACCCCTCTGTTTTGTATATTCACTCTTACGGGTAGGGTGTCCCGATTTTTGTTGAGATCGAGGGGTAGGACGAGGTGTTAGAGCTACATGGCCCTCCAAACAGAGGTTTTTCAGAGGCACATTCCAAACGAGTGTTATAAAGAAAAAAGCCAAGATGCTCAAGCGACCAAAGAAACCCACAAATGTGAGTATTTTCTCAGTTAAAAATTCCGTTAACCATCATATTATCTTTGATTCATCATATTTTATCATATCATGGTCCTTTTCTTCATACCAAGCATAAAACATCTCTAGTAGCAGCTGATGTCTCGGTAGGTAGCTAAATTTCCAATTTCACCTTAAATGCTGCAGCAGTTACATTCTGGCACCTAAGGCATCAGAATTCCTGCACTATTTAAAGTGAAACTTCAGCTTCACATCACCAAAAAAGTACGGATAGGCGATAATAAATAACTGTCGCACCCCCCCTCTCTTTAAAGGCACATGACGCCCCAAAATGTAACAGCAGTGAGGTTGCTGAACTTTACCCTCCTCTGCTATCACTGCAGGCTGGCAGGGTCGCCTACAGAGCAGCAATAGTAGCTGTTAATGAAGTAATATTGTTTTATTTGAGGGTCCCATTTCATAGGGCAAGATTTCAACCATTGTAACTCAGCTCCTCAACATGCAAAACAAGGGGTAGGGGGAAACATAAGAAACTGGGCCTTTAAATGAATCTTTCATTTTAAGAAAACGCTCCCTTTACGTCTTTTCAATTGTTCAACCATAACTGTTCTTTTTCTTTTGCTATCTGCTCACATAGGTATGACACTAAGTGAACTGCTGCTCTCTTCAGGTTAAGTCGTTAATGCACAACTCCAGTCCTGGAGGGTTGGTGTCCAGTGCAGTTTGGTAGTTTCCCTACTCAAACACACCCACTAAACCTAGCAATTAACAAATGAGTTAAATTTTGTTTGAGCAGGAAAAAAAAAAAAAAAAAAATCACTAAACTGTGCAGGACACTGGCCAAGACTGGAGATCATCCTTACTTTAGGTTAAACGTCACTTTGAAAATGTCAACGAAAAAACTGACGATGGAAATTTGTTAATCTTTTGTCAACATTCTAAAAAAATAAATAAAACTATATAAAAGAATGGAATTATTTACATGTAAAGCCTATAATGTGCTAATCTGAACATGTCATTAAGGCAGCAGGGAATAGCAGTACCCAAGTATCAATTTCGTTACTAGAGAAATGATACTTCTGGTATATTCAGGTCTAATTTGCACATCACTATGCACTCTGCCCTCTCACCTTGTCCAGTTTGTCCACGGTTGAGCAGATGGTGCGGAACTTCTCACCTGGAACTCCGCACACCGCAAACATTCCATCCAGGATACGTCTGTCATTCACCTGAAATGCCATGGCAACAAGACAAATCCGAACGCATGTTTACTCTCGAATGTATCTTTAATAAATTAAATTTACACATATTTTTCTGTGCCCCAACAGTAGTTGATGTTTAGAGGGACATGTTTAGGTTTGCAGTTTGCACAGCACTAATTGGTATAAGAATCTATTACTAGTTAGCTACATTAGACACTAAACGTGTCCTGGTGGATCAAATACATTTGGGGTAAAGGGGAAATACTCTTCTTTTAAGTTGCCCATGGTTGCTGACCTTGATGCGGAAGTCTCCCAAGTCCAGTTCACTCAGGATCTCATATACGATTTTCAGACACTCTGCATCAGGGATCATGGGGTCATACTGACCTGCAATGTCAAAATCCTACAGCAGGAGAGAGGGTAGTAAAACACAGCCTTTAGAACTTAAATATAATTATTCTCACAAAGATTTCTGTTCATAAATACATCAGAAGCCTGTGCCAGTAAAAGAGTCCTCTTATTTGGATAAGAAAGGGGTGAGAAGTGGGGGACTGCCTTTTATTTGACAACAGTGAAGGTGAATGTGTTTGCTCCTGCATCCGTTTCAGTGTTAGGAGCTGTCTAAAACTTAAATAAACAACAGGTTTTTTAGATTAAGTTTTTACCATCACTGAGGGCTGTTGCCATAGTAACTTAGTTAAGCGTCACCAGGCACACATGTAGGCTTGTCACAATTATTACATAATTTCCTGATTGTAATTATCCAAGCTGACCAGAGTTATTTTCCACAGTTGTTATGTTATGTGCTTCTGTTCCATCAAACTGAATGTGAATTAGGTGTATTTTTCATCAGTTGTGTTGAGGCAAATACATGTACTTAAAAATAATCAGAAAATACACTTAATGACGTCATGGGTCTCACAAAAACAGCAACATTTTTTCTTCTGACTTCTGAGTGGTGCTGTAACACCTTTAGAGAGCAGTGCTGAGTAATGTTCGTTTATTTGGGCTCGAGCTGTGTCTGTTTGCTGGGAGCCACTGAGTATCAACAGCTGGGATGCAAGATAACTATCAGCCAGTTTGGCCACTTTAGGCATTTACTTTCATACAGTTCACCCAAAAAGACACTTAAAATTGTTGATCACAATTACTTATACGGCAATTAATAAACTTCAGGATCATGACAGGCCTACACATGAGTATTTATGACAAGATAGACAGAACACAGAGATGGTAACCATGACAACTTCAGTTAGGACCTTACAGAACAGCAGTTCTTATATTCATAATCTTAACCATTAACTCTAGATAAGAAAACAGTATTATCGAAACATCCTAACTAGACTAAATTTCCTAAATTCTGTCCCAGAGCTGAGGGTTTTTTTCTTACAACGTTTAAATCTCAGACGCTGCAGACACGATCTCCAGCGTCCCTTTTATTACACTCATGTGTTAATGTTGATGAAAATTTGACCTGTCAGATCTTAACTCTAATACGGCCCACGTTTCGAAATGAATATGGCTGTGAGACAGAACTGAAGTCAAGGGTATGCTGCAGATGTCAGACAATGATAGTACTCACACACTGGTAAAACTCTCTGTAGCGGCCTCGGGTCATGGCAGGGTTGTCTCTGCGGTACACTTTAGCGATGTGGTAACGTTTGATATTTGTAATTTTGTTCATGGCCAAGTAACGGGCGAAAGGAACCTGAACAGGGAGAAGATAAGGAACCACAACGGCAGTGACAGGCAAACACAAATATAACAGCAACATAAAGGACCTGCATATAACAAGCAGAATGGAATCCACAATTTCAACTGCTTATTTGTTCCATATTACAAACTAATATGATTACTGCAACAAAAATGCCTTTCTGACCAAAATCTAAGTAGTATAAAACAACTCATGGTTCAGTAACTAACTGACCTACACAGACACATTCAATTATACAGTGGCTTCCTCAATAAAGTCCCACATAGAACACATCCCATCATTTAACAATACAATAGGAATACTAATATTTGTGCAGGATACAGTTAGGTCATATCTCAAAGACAGCAGCTCTCCTCCCTGGTCCTTCAGATCATAGATGAGTTTGGAGTCCTCGCCATACTTTCCTGTCAATGTTTCCTATGAAAAAGAGAGAAACAAAAACAAGCACAAACTCAAACAATTACCTAATAAGATCACAGAATTCCTCATGATAATAGACATTGTTGGTGAGATGGAGGAGAAGCATACCTTGAGCTCAAAGACTGGGGTGTCGATGGTTTCAGCACCATGGCGTTTAAAGCAGCTGACTATGGTGTTGAAGACTTTCTCCCTGATAGCCATCTGTTTGGGGTTGTAGTCCCTGGTCCCCTACAGACACACATACATACAGAAACATCAGAACCAAAAAAAAAAAAACAAAAAAAGCATCCTGTATGTCTTCAAACATGTAAAACCACATGCACACTTGCACCTCATATCTACTAGTCCTACCTTGGCGGTTTTGAGAACAAATGTGTGTTTGCCATCATCGCCCCCAATCTGTGCCTTCAGCTCCAAAAGTTTGGCAACTTCCTCATCAATCTGGAACATTTAAAACAATAATTAGACAGACTTAGACTAGTGGAACACTGAAGACTGCATGGATCATTAAAAAAATAGTAGAGAGAGTCTGCAAATAACAACTATACAAACTGCACAGTAACAAGCAGCTGATCACACGTCAGCCTATTATGCCATTATCTTATTATATTAGTTTATTTTACCAACTGTTTTGATTATTCCTCCTGATCTGTCTTAAGTAATTTTTTTCTTTTGCCAACACTGGAAGAAGATGAATGAAAAAGCTACTTAAGGAGGATAAGGGCATATTAGAGCAGGTGGGCAGGACATTCTGACCTTAAAGGGAATTCCACTGATTTTTCAAAATGTCTGCATAATTCAGAGTGGGTTTGATGTGAAATGGTTCATTTGTAGATAAACTTGTCGACTTTGCTTTACAGTGGTGGTGATAGGAACCAGGTGTCCCAATGTCTACAACAGTACAGCCATTTTATGTACTAAGACAACCTGTGAACCTACATGTGTCTTCTGAATTTTTACATGTGACGTTGGTGATGGTCAAATAGAGGGAAATTTGGGAAAAAAGTTTTCTTTCAGGACTATTTTGCCTTACAATGCTCTGTATGTACCCCTCAGCCATGAATGGGTTAAAATAAACAGATTAACAAGACATTTTAGGTCAAGATTTTATCACAATAAAAAACAAATGTAAAACAATGTCAGGCATCAGATAGTGTATACATAACCACTTTGTGTAATAGCTTTCTGTGAAAGAGCCCTCAGAGGTATTAAACTCTTCAGACGTCTGGTTCCTATCACCACCACTATGAACAATTCTGACTCAGTAAGCTTCTCAAGAACAAAGCATTTCACAACAAACCTCGCTGAATGACTTTGTTTACATCTTCATCATTTAATTATGTAGACATTTTGAAAAAGTGGTGAAGTTTCCCTTTAACTTACTTAGCTAGCATTAGTGTCTGTCATGATTATGTCACAGTTAAGATAAAAGGTTTAGCCAGTTTTCACTTTATCACTAGTTGGCCACCTTGTTTATCTCAGTGTAGCACAGCAGTTCCCAAATGTGGTCGAGGTGTGCCCCCTGCCCTGCACATTTTACTGTTTCAGTGCACATTTTAGGGATGGTCTGAAAGCAAATCTCACTCCTGCCCTGACTGTAACACTGTATTGTTGCCAGATTACCCACCTTTACACTTCCTTAGTGTCCATTACAGAAAAACCTAAGACTAAAAACACAATAAGAGCCTTCTCTTAGTTTAAATGTAAACTGCAACCTGTTTGGTTCTTTTTTCTACTGTTCGATCAAATAATCCAGCTGAGCCAGTGCAATACAGAGTAAAGTCTCCAAGTTTAGTGTCACTTAAAGTGATGCATCTGTGAACGACCATGTTCCTCACATTCCCCATCACAGCTCCACAATCCAGCAAGATGTAAAGAATGACCAAACTTGTTCCATAATGCTGCAAACATATACCCACCTCTACTGTTTAAAATTGAGTATTTATCCATCCCACTTTCAATGTTAGCAAGACGTTACAAGGGGAAATGCTAAAAAGTGCTAAATGCTAAAGATCACAGAAATCATTTTATAACTACAGTTGAAAAAAAAAAATCCATCAGAAATGACTTCGAGTAGTCCTGTCCCAGGCAGAGAATCCTGTTAGTTGGGTAACCATGAGGAAAGTAACTGCATTAAACCAGATTTGGGGAAGGAAGGATTTTTTTCCTTTTGTTTTACTTTTCATTTTTTAATTTTCACAAAGAATTTACAAGCATTCTCATTCATAATTTTGCAATAGCTTGTAACACTGACGCAGATGTGGAAGCAAAGAAAGTGACAGCGTGTGAGTTAAGCCTTAATATTTGTCAAAATAAAAGTGCAGTTCAGTAAATTTCTTTATGTTAATTTCAGCAAATAACAGTAATCATGTAGAAGTGTGTTCTCTGTAGAGGACTTATATTCACTAAGAAAATCAACAAAATGTGTAATTTGAAAAAGGTTCCCCAAATCTTTACATATGGCTGTATCTGCCTGATGCAACTGCATACTGAGGCCCCTGCAAACCTCCCCTCGAGCATGTTCAACCAGCTCAGCTCAACAGTCGCATCTCTAGAACACTCATCTATGTCAGGTACAATAAATGGGGTGTTAAATGTACAATCACGTCACCCAACAAGTTTAAAAGTTCAATCACATTCACATGTAGGACTACAAATGTCTTCCTCTAGTTAGCATGAAATGATCTGGTTTTTACCCCAATACCTCAGTTAACCACCACCAGGCAAAGGCCTGGTCAAGTGTGCCATAAGACAAGGCTCTGATAATAACTAAAGCAGCATGGTCTGTATGTGTGTGTAAAACTAGTGATGGAAGACTCCTACCTGAGATACAGTCATTCCAGAGAGGTAGCGCAGAGAGCGGAGGGATGAAGCAGCATGTCGTCCCATCAGTCCAGCACAGAGACGCACACAGGCCAGCCCCAACGTGGCCATATTTCAGTCAACAAGTGCAGCACACAGTTCACAACCACAATGGCACAGTCCACATCAGCACAGCCCAAAAACACAGAGTCAGTTCACAGCAGAGGTCCAATTCCAGTCCAACGAGTGTGGAGCAGGAGTCCAACAGCGAAATCACAGCAGGTCCAAGATCAAATCAGAGGAAGACGATGATGATGATGATAATGATGATGACAACCACAGGTACCGCAGTATCCGCAGCAACAAGCAGGAAGAACAGGAGAAAAGTGGTGAGCAACCCTATCGCTAGGGGGCCGCGGCCCACAAGGGAGGCATCACAGCAACAAAGGAAGCAAAACATGAGAGGAACGTGTCAAAAATCAACTGGACACTACAGCTTCTATTCTGACATCATGAGAATGACCACACAGCTCCTCTCAGATCATGCTGATTCAAAGAGAGGCATTCTACTGAAACTGAAAAGGTCCAAATTAAGACTTCACAATACGGATATAAATGTGATGTACAATAAAACTGCTTGACATCATGACATTGATATGAGTGATAAATTATTGAAATACTGTGCCTCTGATTGGATGTGCTGCAAGTACATAGCACTTCTTGGGTGCTTTTCTTGTTTACAAAAGCACCATTTGCTGTCATGCAAAAAAAATAAATAAATAAGGAAATACTAACTCATACTTGCATTTTTTTAAGCATAAAGGCCAAGAAAAAGTCAGCATTTCCTGAACAGCTCCTTCCATAAAGGCTATAAAAACCAATATATTTTATACTGATTCATAAGATTTCATAAACATAGATTCAATTCCATAAAAGGCTCGTTATAGCGATGCAGATTTGTTGTGATAGTAGCCGTTACATTTTACAGACCACTCTGAGAGAGAGAATAGTCATCACATTTGAAGTATTTTTACAGGCTAGTAGTTAAATACAGTAGTTTTCGAGTTGTGCCATTTAGCCATATGGTTAAGTCACTAATTACATGGAAAGTAATTTGGTCTGTTCTGTCATCGCAGCTCTTAACAACGTGTTTATCGTGAGAACTCACATTGTGATAACAATAAAAACACAGTTTAGCGGGCAACCCTAGCCTAAATGTAACACAGCAGGGCTAGAAGAAAAATAAAACATGAAGCCAGCAGTGAATGACAGCACAGGATTAGTCAGAGATACAGACAACTGTAAAACAGCAGTTGGGTTATTCCCATGTTACTAACATAGAACAAAGGCCACCTGTGCTCAGCAAACACAATCAGCAAATACACTATATATTTGTAGACACCTGTTCCTTCAGCGTTTCTCCTGAAATCAAGCACATTAATAGGGACCGTGTCTCGATGCCTTGCTGCTGGCGCTGTCTCATAAGTCAGTGCCTTAAAAGGCAGTGCTGTCCATTGGGTCAGTGCTGGTGTTTTCTGCTATGTTTTTTCTAACCGCATCAGTGCAGACACAGAGTGTTTTGGGATATAAGAGCCAGTGAAAGATACATCTACACTGCCTTTAAAAACAGCCGGACGGAGGAACCTAAGCAGGCAGCGTTTTATTGAAACATTAGGTCCGGACATGAATGGGTGCCTCCCTGCCTCAGAATACTGTATGAGTAGGCAGCGTTTGTTACGTTTCGGACACAGACAGGGGTGAGTGAGTTCATCAGGTACTGATGTTGGATGATCATCACTCAAGAGAACACAGGTCCACTGCTCCAGAGATTAATGCTGGGGGGCTTTATAACCCTCTAGCCCAGGCTTGGCTTTGAGCATGGTGATCTCATGTGTGGCTGCTCCAGAGCGTCCTGCTCTGTTGGTCACTGCTTTGCTATAGAGATTACAGAAGCTGTGTGTATATGTGTGCACTTTAATGGGTGCTGGATTCATTCATGAGAAGAGGCGTCTAGACACATTTGGACATTTAGTGTATCTCTACATTCTGTATGACTATTGAGCTTTGGATACTACTCTAATCAGGGTAATTCCACTGATTTTTTAAAATTTCTGCATAATTCAGTGGTTGTGATATAAACAAAGTCATTCAGATTTGTTTGATGTGAGACGGTTCCTTTGTGGAGAATTTCTGATTTCTTTACAGGTGGTGACAGAAACCAGGGGTTGCATTGTCTACAACACAAATACAGACATTTTATTTATCATCCAAATCCACCAGTGAACCTACACGTGCCACAGTGTGTTCACAACTGCTTCGTGTAATAACTTTCTGTGAGGGAGCTTTCAGGGGCTTTAAACTCTTCAGACGTCTGGTTCCTATCGCCACCACTGTGAACGATTCTGACTTGGTGAATTTCTCCAAAATGGAGTATTTCACACCAAACCACTCTGAATTATTTTGTTGGCATGTTAACCATTTCATTATGCAGAAAAGTGGTGGAGTTCCCCTGCAAAAGGAGAAGGGGGTTCATACTGTACTTCAACAAAAACTGAACTGGGCATACTAAATGCACTCAGTGGCAGGATTAATGTGCCTATTTATCTATTACACAGAGTGCTTCATACAGTCATTTCAGTGGTAAAATGTCAATGAAGTGTGCCATTTTACGCATTTGTATCTAAAAAGTTATGTGACTTACTACTTTTATTGTAAACTGTGGCCCAATCATTTTCATTTTCACTTTGACATCTGATAAATCATCTAGCTAGGTTACATTCCCTCGAGATGCACCTGCTATTTTGTAGGTGCGTCTACACGACCTGTCTTTAATGCCCTGTAATAAAAATCAATCTAATTAATCAAGCCTATGTGTTTTTTATTTATGTCTGCCTGTCTGTCTGTCTGTCTGTCTATGAGGGACTGACAGCTCTTTAACAGATGTTGCATCAGCTTCCTCACGCTGACCAGCTAAATGCTCTACACTCAGTTTAATATAAGCTATAATTAGAACAGCTTCTCTCTGTTCTCGGTCTCCACGTGTACAGTGAGACACACGGAGTCTGAAGCTGATTTTACAGCACGTTTTGACCGCTAAGCGGTGATTCTCGCTACATAAAGCCACACAGACCGCCGGGCCGGCGGCGGCGTGTCAGCGAGCTCAGACACACACAGGCCGAGCACCAGGCTCGACAGAGGGCCGAACGCCTCACCGCATATTCGCTCACACTGACCTGTTCTTTGCTGGCTTTGTCCGCCTTGAGCTTCCTGACCACCTCTCCCTGCGCTTTAATGGCCTCCTGAATCTGCGCTTTATCCGCCATGGTGCCGCTACCAGTGAAGCGCAGGACCCGTCGCACACAAAACACGTCAGCAGCGCGAGCAGCACATGAGCTGCGTCCGAAACCCCCCCGTACTGCGCAGTATCAGCCGCCCCCCAGAGGGTCTCAGTGTTTCTACACAGATTTAAAGAGGATTCATGTGTTAACTGCTCTTTTTGTACTTTAATTCCCCTACGGAGCCCCGCTGGTGACATCCTGTATAAATAAAAATAATGTGTGGCCACGACTTAGTAAAGCGTGGGAACGAGATCACGGCATACTAAGTCGTGGCCGCGCATTAGGATCTCGTTCCCACGCTTTACTAAGTCGTGGCCACGCATTATTTTTATTTATACAGGATGTACAGGATGCCCCGCTGGTGACATCCTGTACAAATAAAAATAATGCATGGCCACGACTTAGTAAGGCCGTGGGAATGAGATGATTAAGTCGTGGCCACGACTTAGTAACATGTGGGAACAAGATCCTAATGAGTGGCCATGACTTGGTAAGCCGTGATCTCGTTCCCACGCCATACTAAGTCATGGCCACGACTTAATCATCTCATTCCCACGCCTTAATATGTCGTGGCCACGCATTAGGATCTCGTTCCCACGTGTTAAGAAGGTGTGGCCACGCATTATTTTTATTTATACAAGATGTCACCAGAGGGACTCTGTAAAATTCCGCATTCATATATGTAAATATTAAAAAACCTGTTTTCAGCTTACTTTGTTAATGAAGCCAAACAGGACTGGAAAACAGTTACTGGTTCTGAGGAAGCTGTCGAAACACTGAAATCACGTAGATCTTTCATGTTCAAAAGTAAATAGTTCCATAAATGTGAACCTTGAACCTCTCCTGCTTTTGTCCTTTTTTATTTCTCTCTCTTTGTACATATACTGATGATCCTTATCACGTTTCTCTTGCCTGTAATTATTTTGTCATTTATATTAATATCTAATATAAAGCATTATTGAATTATCTTTACTACATGTAGTCATACCAGTTACCATATACTTCATATGTTTACACTACGATTAGATGTTAAATGTGCTTTTTTATCCTTTATATGAACAACGTAATTACAGTTCCTGTGTTTGTGCAACACCTCAATGGGTAAATCCATCAATTTTTAAAAAATTCTGTATAATTCAGTGGTTGGTCTGAATGACTGTATCAGTTGAGATACAAACAGTCATTCAGAGTGTTCTGATGTGGAATGGTTAACTGTAGAGACACTTACAGACTCTGTTTTCTTTGCAGTGGTGCTGATAGGAAACAAGGGTCACAATCTCCAGCCAGTTTATGTACCGTCCAAAACAACCAGTGAACCTACACGTGTCTTCTAAGTTTCTATATGTAATGCTCATAAATAAATAAATAAATAAATATATATATATATATATATATATATATATATGTGTGTGTGTGTGTGTGTGTACAAATATATATACATATATATATATATATATATATATATATATATATATATATATACATATATATATATATATATATATATATATATATATATATACACACACACACACATATATATATATATATATATACACATATATATATTGTTTGTCTGTTTGTTTTTTTGGCCAGAAAATTATCTCAAAGCTATATTATCTCAACAGACCGCTCTGAATGACTGTTTACATCTTAATCGTTTAAATTGTAGTCATTTTAAATAAATAAACCAGGACGTTAAAATGCTGCGCTTGCCCTGCAAAAAGGAAGAGCAGGAATCGGTATTTACCCTCTTGGTCCAGCAGGGGGCAGTGAACGGTCCGTTCCTAGAGCAGCACAAAGCCGCCGATGAATAACCGGAGTGTGATGGGGTGTGGGTCAGCTGGCTGCCCTCGGAGATAAACACGGACATTAATGAAGATTCATCGTTAATTAGTTACCCGTTAGCTGCTTTGACGCCCAACAAACAAGGCGAACATCCCCCAGCTAACCGCCGTTCTCCTGCAGTGCGCGTTAGCGCGGTGGCCGCCGCAGGGAGCGGTACAGTAACTCAACGCTAAGCTTTTGCTGCTCAGCGTTGACTGAAGGTGTCTGTCGGGGTTGATGTGAAGTAAGTTGGGTTTTAAAGCTGTCGGCGTTCTGGTTAAATGTTCATAATTCATCACTGGTCACTGTGTTTTGTGGAAGGATTAAGAAGCTCCGCTGTTATTGCTGTATGTAGTTTTATCAGGGCGAGTTGACAGCTGGCTAGTTCAGGTCTGCAGAGCTAACAGCGAAGGCCATCTTACTGTGTACTGTGTACTGTTTACTGTGTCTGTCAGCAGAAATAGGTGCATAACGGTTTCAGGAAGAGACACTTGAGGTTATTTATACCTAACGAATGAGGTTAAAACCATTTGTGGTGTGCACTGTGCATTTATGCTAAGAGACATTTAGCTAGCCCTTTCAGTTTCAGTTCCCAACACTTCCAGAACTCTAACTCATCTAAATTAAAGGAGAAGTCCATAGACTTTTCAAAATGTCTGCATAATTCAGTGGTTGAGGTGTTGTAGTGTTGATAATGGTAAAGTAGTGGTAAATCTAGAAACAAAACGTTTTACTGGGGACTACTTTGCCTTATAACACCCTCCATGTGTCTCTCCACCATTGTTGGGTTTTAAAAAGTACATTGTAGCCCTAAAGTTTATCTCAAAACTGTCATAGAACAGTGTATTGGGCATCAGGCAGTGTCTTCATAGCCATTTCATGTAATGGTTATTTGTGATGTAGTTTGTAGAGGCATGAGACTTTTCAAACGTCTGGTTCCTGTCACCACCACTGTGAACAATTCAGACTTGGCCTTGATAAGTTTCTCTAGAACGGCGCATTTCACATTAAACCACTCTGAATTGATTTTGCTGTTTGCATCTTACCAATTGACCTGCAGAGAAATGTGGAAAAATCAGTGTCATTTCCCTTTAAGAGTGTTTTGGTTGCTGTAAGCTATAAACGTTAGGTTGATGCCGTGAATTTGCACAATATAGGCCTTAGTCATTTCATGAAATAGTATAGAAATCTATAGTTGTGTCAGCATAGCCCCTCAGGAGTTCAAAGGTCTCACAGGAAAATGTTTCTGAATTCACATGGACAAGATTTGGTCTGTCAGCCATACAGTGTAGCGCGGGCTGTTTAATTATACCCATTATTACTGAGGGATACTTATTGTGGAGAATGAAATCATCCAGGACTACCAACATGTATACTGTGTAAACTGCTAGATGTCCCACTTTGCTTTGTCTGAATACACATAAGAACCAAACTCATGTCCTCCACTTTTTCCCTTAATATGTGAAGTGTTTAATTCAGAAGCAAAGAGTGTGGGTTGTTAGTAGGTTGTCACGTCAAGAATTCTTCTCAACTTAATTCTTTTTCCAGTTCTAGGCTGAAACTACAACTTGGGCGAGATGAGTCCGACTCAGTGGGATCTCCCTCCGGAGCTGTGCTGCAGGCCCATGGCCTTTGTGGCTCTTACCGGCCTGGATGTGGTCTACAACGCTGTGCACAGAGCCATATGGGATGCTTTCTGTGCCAACAGGAGGGCAGACAGGGTGCCCATCTCCTTCAAAGTCCTACCAGGAGACCATGAGTACCCAAAGTGCAGAACTAAGGTAAGAGTGACGGTTCAGTGAACAGGATGTCAAGTTCTTTTTGACGAAACATGAATTCTTTCCACACTTTTCAAAAAGTAGTTTTTGGCCCCTCCTACTTACAGAATTAGCAGGAATTCTTGCTTAGCCAGCAAACTTTAAGCTTAGTTTAGTCTAACCCTGGATTTTCTGTCTCACAATAGTGGATCACTTTTTACTGAGCTACATCACCATGACAACTAAGGCTGCATGCCTAACCTGCTCCGGGGCGGATTAAGTTCGGGGCTTTGGATCATAAACCGCTCTTGGACTAATCAGGGCCAAGCTTCTGACCAATCGGGGCAGAGGTGGATACCTCTTTGTGAAGTTTGTCATCACTCAAAGGATAAAAAAAAGTTATTGGATGAAAACAAATGAAAACAAATCATATTATGTAGATATAAAGAAAAGTAAGCAATTTTTACTCCAGTAAGCACCAACACAGTGGCAGTGGCAAAGCTTTTTGACATTTTTAAAAAGTGTTTACTTTTTATTTGCGTAATAAGATTTCTTTCTCTTCCTTTGAAACATAAACTGTTTGACTCCTCATGTTTTATGCAGTTGGCTGTTTGACATAAATATCATGCTTGTATGTTCGTGCACACAAAGATGAATCACCGCTTCAGTATCTAAACCTGGGTTAACAGAACTTGTTTCCTGAGACAGACGCCTGGTCTACTTTTACTGCATGGCTCATAGATCCAGTGATTTTTAATAACACATTTGCTATTTTTTCCTCTTCGACCACATCTATTTCTGATTGATTATTGATTTTAACCATGTTTGTCCTACCTATAAGCAGTGATTGATTCATCTTTTTGGCTCCCTTGTTAATGAGTCTGCTCTCATTTGTGCCTAGATTGAAGAACATTATACATTTAAGAACAAAGAAAATAAAAATGTTGGTATTTTTTCTTATTTTTAGTTTAGCTTGGTTACTAGTGGGGAAATTGACCTTAGTTTGAATTTTATTTAATATTTTGGCACAGACATATGCCTGTAGCTTTATGTTGTTGTTATTGTTGTGATTAATCTCTTGCGTTTAATAAGAGCAAGAAAAAACAACTAAACACCTTTAACTAACAGATCTCAGTCTTTTTGACTCTTGTTTTTATGTTATGCTGTTCTGTACTTCAACCTAGACTGTTAGATATATTATTTTACACATAAACAACCTGTTTTTTCTTATCATCATCTTCAATATGCTATTACCCTGTCCAACACATTGTTGTTGCTGTTGGTCTATAGACTCTTGGTGTGAATTTTAAATACATGCTTACCAAAATCCACCAGGGCCACAAAACATTTGTCTCCTAATTTGCTAACAGTGGTGACTTTAGTGACTTTGCTGTAGGTAATCGGTGCTCTCATGTTCTTCCAGAGAACCTCCTACGAGTGGTACATTCCCAAAGGCATCCTGAAGACAGGCTGGATGAATAAACACCTGAACTTG